CTTGACAAAAGTATTTATTGGAAATAGTAATTTTGCCAGGTCAGGACTTTGGGACATTGAGGAATCACATGGTCTCGTGTTTTCCTGTCACCAAGAACTTGTAGAATGCCACACACAGCAACTCCTGGCTAAGCTACTCCTGGTCTTCTTGTCTCCAAAATGTGTGTCCCATTGAAACAAGAGGTGGAAGAAGCTGGATTTTCAACTTAGGTCTACCCCCCCTAATTAAATAAATCCCTATTACATGTTTTGCTATTCAAGTCTCAATCTTTCTACTTAATGTAAGCTCTTTAGATTTTCCAGAACTGTCCTGCAGTGAAACTTTTTAACCCACCCTCAAATAATGTGATGCAGATGAAGGTGAGAAAGGAAATGTACCTGTCAGGTATTTCCCACATGTTAACTCAGTTATTCCTACAATGACCCTGTGAAGAAATTAAGGCTCTGAGAACCCAAATGATTGCTTCAGACTACACAGCCATTGAGAAATGAATATGATGAATCTAAGTCCAGTGCCTAACATATGGTAATTGTTTGATCAAATGAACAGATGTTTGAATGAGCTGTGTGTCCCACTTCTCCAGTATGTACAGCTAATACAGAGGTTGCCAAATTATTCTCCAAAGGAGAATACTGTGGCCCAAGGCTGGACATGACAAATGCTGATGAAGATAAGAGGAGGTCCTGAGTCCATGCTTTAGCCAGAGAGAGCCCACTTGTTCAAAAATTCATTTTGAAGATAGATCTCCAAAGGTCCAAACAGTGAAAAAGAATCTGCTTTTGTAAGCCATCTTTAACCCTTGCATTGCATTTACAGAGCTGTTGTTTCTTCTTGAACACAGATAATGTTGTAGATATCATCAAGATATCATAATAGGCCCTGACTGGTGTGGCTCAGTGGATTGAGCACTGGCCTGCTAACCAAAGGATCCCTGTTTGGGTCCCAGTCGGGGTACATGCCTGGATTGCTGGCCAGGTCCCCAGCAGGGGGCGCTTGAGGGGGTGCAAACTGCACATTGATGTTTCTCCCCCCTCTCTCTTCCTTTCCCTCACTCTAAAAATAAATAAATAAAATCTTTATTAAAAATATGTCATAATAAAACATGTTTTATTATACAGTGTTTAAACTACCAGAGGTTTCGTATAAGAAAATCAGGAAAGATAGAGACCTGATCTTATGCCAGTGATGAAAAGAACTTTCCAAAAGACAAACCCCAAAACTTATTTGAAAGAAAAACACTAAAATTTCTGTCTTCCAATATAATATTACTAGCACACTTTTTATAGAAGGACTATGTGAAGAGGGAAACTATTTCATTCAATAGCCAAATATACCTTTAAAGTAGATTTTATTATTATTGTTCTGTAGAGTAGGAAACTAAGGGTTAAGGGCTTTATTGAATGCTTTATCATTAGAAAGTAGAAGAGCTGGGATTCAAATTCAAATCTGTCTGACCCCCAGCTCCAAGTCTGTAATTCTACACTCCCTCCCATTAATGTCTACAGTACTGGAGATAGACTACAGACCTAATAAATGTGGAAAGAAAGAAATTGAAGTATAGATATATTTAATTCATAGAGTTATTTCTTCCCTGCAATCCAAGTACTTTATATCAACCCACACTGCATTAAATCAAGGCAAATCTCAAATCTGGTTTTAATGGACCAAGAAAAAGATAAAAGACATTTGCCAGTAGCAAAAAGGGAGGTTTAAATATATCTACAATATCTTTTTCCCTCTTAACATTAATCCTGAGTCTTCCTTTCTGTAAAGACAATTGATCTGAAGATGCCTTTTTTTAACATTTGAGTGAAATTCTTTTTGATCAGCTGAAGTCAGGTATTTATTCATTTCTGACAAAAGTAGTACAAGAAATTGATTCAACATCTTTCGATTTTTCCACAAACTGATTCTTATTAATCAAGTTAACATACCATAGACTTGATAAGATTGTTAGGCCCTGGAGCATGAGATACATGGGATAGTCTATAATTTAAGAAAGTTTCTTTGGATTACTTCCTGCAGGGGTAAGGGAATGAAGTAGTGAGGGGAAAAATTACTGCTGCATTAGAGCTTATTACTCTTTCTTTCCAGCAAAATTAACTCTTCATATATGTTTAAAATATTACAGAGCCATGAAAAAAGATACCTGAAAAAATCCAGCATGGCCAAACAAAGGAGGGAAAACAATCGGGTGAAATGTGCTTAGGTTATAGCAGTAAATGGGGACACAAAAAGAAAAGAGAGCACTCTAACCTTTTCATTGTCTAACAACTATTAGGCATGCCTATAAATGGAAAAAAGCAGGAAGAATTCCAACACGCTAAGACCTCATTTGTGTTAAGGTGGGAGAATTATGATAATTTTTCTCCTCTTCACTGTCCACGTCAGGTGTGACACAGCTGTTCTGCATTTGCTATGGGTGCAGTAGGAGTCCCTTCCATATCACCCTCCCTTCCCAGAGGCAACTCTAGCTATGAAGGCAGGAGTGTGCCCAGTTAGTGTATTTCTTCTACTTCAGCTACAGACTCACCCATGTTGAAGATATAGTTACATTCTTGTATACATGGCATCTTATTTTATCCTTCCGCAACTTGATTTTTTTCCAGAGTTGTGTTTTCATATTGCCTGTTAATGCATGTGAAGTCTAGTTTATTCATTGTATTTACACATCGCTTGTATTTCTTCACTAAACAGTAAGCTTTTCATGTATTCCTTTACTGAAGAACATTAAGATTGTTACAAATTTTTGCCCTTTCAAATGCTGCTGCAGTAATCATCCTATGTATTTACAGGTGAGTATGAGCAACTTTCTCTAGTTATTTTTTTTACCTAGAAGTGCTAAACAGGAGTAATTAAACAACTTTAGTTTTACTAAATATTGAAAAATTATCCTCCAAAATATTTGTGCCAATTCTTACTGTCCATCCTGTATGAAGAGTTCTTGTTTTCCATTTTCATGCTAAATGAGATGTTTTTTCCAGCTGAGATTGTTGCTGAACTGAAGGGTACAAAACTAATTCTCATTGTCTTGATTTTTATTTCCCTGTTTACTGTGAGGTTGTTGGTTTCCATGATGTCCACCATGTGCTTTTGCCCAATTTTCTATGGGTTTATTTGTCTTTCTATTGTAGGAATTTCTAATAGTGTTTCTATATGAACTCTTTGTTCCACTTTGCTATTGTTAAATTTGTTAGAGGTTAATCTAGTTAAGAAAGTTTATCTAGTTGGAATGCCTTCTTGTATCTATTAAAATAATCTGGATGGGGTTTCTTTCACTTTCATTGTTTCAATATGATTAATTGCAGTAACAGAAATTCTGATGTTGAGTCATCCTTTAAGTATTGGGAAATTTGTAGTTATTTTAGTTATTTTTATTACTGATTCATGTTTCCATTATTTTATTTGTGCTAAAGTGTGTTAAGTGAGACTGGGCTATATTTTTATTTCATTAATTAGTCATTTTGTGGTTTTCATAACAACATTATACTACCATTTAAAAATGAATAGTGCAGGTTCCCTCTTTCTGTTCTCTGATACTGGTCATGAAACCTCGCTGATAAAACTATTAGGTGGAGGAAAAAGCAACAGGTGGGCGAAGTGTGGAGGTGGGTAGGGGAAACGGTGGTATTGATTCAAGCCCCTAGGTCGTTTATTGGCCTATCAGTCTTTCTATTTCTTCTTCAATTACTGTGGTAATTTTATGTTCGTCACTAAATTTGTTGACTTTCTCTAGATTTTCAAGTTTATTGGCAGAGAACTGATCATAACATTTCCAGTTTTGTCATGTTTCTTACCTCTACTTGGTGTGTGTGTGTGTGTATAACCTTTTCATTCCATCCTCCTTACTATTAACTTTTCCTTTAATACTTTCCATCTTTTAATTTCTCTGTGCTACCCTCTGGGTAACTTCCTCAGGTCTAACTAATTGACCAGTTCTCTCTTCTGCTGCATCCAGCCTGCTTTTCAGCCTACACATGAATTTTTTATTTCAAGAAGTGTATTTATGATTTCTGTAACTTCTTTCTCATGCCTTCTAATCTGCATTCTCTCTTTTTATACACTTTAATGCCTTTTATCCCTCACTTCATTTCTTCGAACACATAAAATGTACTTATATTAAAGTCGCTTTCATGTCATTATGCTATTTAATTCTCCCATAAGTTATATCTTCTGACTCTCCGGTGTCTTACCTCCTTGTGGGGTATGCACTTTGACTAGAAGCTTGTTTTGAGTGGAAATCATTTCTTTTAGAAACCATGGGCATCATGGGCTGTGCAATTATGTTTACCAAATGATCTCACATGCACTTTACCAGAGGGGTTGGGTTTCAAGTAGCCTGTAGGCTTTGCATCTCTGAAATACACAGAGAGTGGGTGTTTAGAACCCACACCTGTGCATTGGTGGTGGGTTTTCAAGGTTCTGAATTCTCACGGCAACTCTTATTTAGCTCTAGGGCCACAGTCAGACAGCTGTCTTCCCCGCTTAGTCCTGGGAGAGTGCACAGATATTTTTTAGAATTTGTTTTAAAAATGGGATGGCATTTTGTGATCTGGACTTGATGCTGGTGGCTCAGTTTCAGCTTCCCACTCAGATGAGGCCTGTGGCTCAGACCTCTGACCCAGACATTGAATCCCCAGCCGACCAGACCTAAGACCTTTATCTAATTCCAACTTTCCTGAGTTCACCCCCCACCCCCGGCTGCAGTTCTCATTCACATCTTTAATTGTGAGATTCCTCTCAGTGTCACCTGGGGAGTTTTACCTTATTGATTTGCAGATGAGTTATGAATTCTTTGTGTAATTCTTTGCATCATTATATTTCATCCAGAATTTCTATGTATTTACAGTAGAGCTGGCATGACTTCCATATCTGCTGAGGTTACCATATTGGCCAGACATACCTATACCTCTCTAATAGGAAAAAATACAAAGAGTTTTACAACATGTTTTAAGAAACATTTTATTTTAACTAGCCTTTTTATCTCTATGCTTCTCAGTGCTGAATTTGAAGAACCGCATAATTATGAGGCAACACTTTCATATCCGAGACACTCTGGCAATGCCACTAACCTGTGCACCGCAGCAGAAATTGCTGATGGTAAGTCTAGTAAGCCAATTAATAATGTAGCCTCATATAGACTGAAAATGTGTCAAAAATTGTATTTCCCTTCGGCTCACTATAGACTTAAACATTCACACCCGTGCTGTTTTACCGTCTAATTTCTTCTGCTGCTCTTTGTCTAGTCCCTCAAAAACATAAATGCATCCCGTTGCACATCCGTGCTACCTCATGCCTCCTAGGGCTGCCTTCTCTCTACTGTCATCTAGTCTCTCCACCAATCCACTGGGATGCTTTGCCTTTGGTCACTGTGTGGAGGGAAAATGAAGATATGACAATTCATTTTCCTTCCTTGTCCTCCTATAGAAACTTCATCTCTCTTCCTATGGTGTCCTTTTTGAGCTCCCTGGTAAATCTGTGTGTGCAGAGGGAGATAAAAGGCCATGTGGATTAGGGTCCTGTGTTTAACCTGAACAGCAGCACAGGATTCATTGAATGGATCTGACCACTAGTTTAGGGCTAAGTCTTCCTGCCCCTGGAATCTCCAAAAAAGCTCAGACCTTTCTGCAATAAAAGAGACCCTGTCAGGTAAGAAGATGAAGAAGCAGAGACTCATAGCATTTTTACAAGTTTCTCTGTCTTTGTTCTGCCTATAGGATCAGCTGATTCTCCACAAAAGGTATAGATGTTGGTGCCAGAATAAACATTACTGTTTACCGAGCTTACGCTGTGGGCCACAGTTCTGTGTTAAGTCCTCTGTGTATACCCCTGATGATAGAATGATTTTCACCCACTTTTAGAGTCAGGAACCTCAAGGCCAGAAATTGAGTTTCACATGGTCACGTAAGAGGTATGTGGTAGAGATATAATGTGAAATGGGCTCAGCCTGCCTCTGAGAGCCACACTGTTTCCGCCACTTTATGCTGCTTCTCCTTCAAGGAGGTTTAGCTTTCCTTGGGAGGGTTAGAAAGAGATCTTCTGGTCCAGCCTCTTTATGGTATAGACAAGAAGCCCAAGGCTCTTGGAAAGGAAGTCATTTGGCTATGGAATACATACTTAGGAGAATACATTCTTACAAAATTTGTGGGGTAAGAGTCAGGACCCATTGAACTTTCCCTTCTTTCTCCCAGGAAATAAGGGGTTGAAGAACTACTGGAAAAAACTCACTTTCTCCTACATGGGCAACGTCTAGATTTTCCCATATGGCTTGTAAATTGCTAGCCATGAGAAGAGCAACTCTGCCCCCACTACCCCTAAAGGCAATGCTGGCCCATACCTGGCTTGTCTGGGGCCCTGCATGATGGCATGGCTTCTCAAATTCTCACATTCCCACAAATTACCTGGGGATCGTGTGAAAATGTAGATGCTGATTCAGTAGTTCTGGGTCAGGGCTGAGAGCCTTCATTTCTAACAAGTTCCCTAGGGGTGCTAATGCTGCTGGTCCACAAACTACACTTTGAATACAAGGGCTATGGGCCCCATTCGAGCTACATACAAGCTGCATGCCTTTCTACAAGGCTTAGGGATCATAGGGCCAAGGAGGTGCTCCAGTTAAGGCCTGCAACTTCTCCCTCTGGACCACATGAGACCTGGAAAATCACCCATTCTCAGGTGGCTCCTGAAATTCTACTCAGGTCCTTGCCTAAGTCCTTCTCCCTCAGATCAGATGGGCTACAGGGTGAGCTCTTCATGGCTGGAGGGATGGGGTTTGCACACAGACAAGAGTCCTCATGGTGTAGGGTGAAGCTGAAGATTGGAAACAGGAAGTTGGTCTCCAGACCTACGTTTGTTCTCTCCAGGCCACAAATGGTCAAGTTGGGCCAGCCAGGAGCATCATTTGAGAAACTGGAAGAAAGAACCACTAACCCAAGCCCCTCCTCAGCCTTGCTGAGAGATTCCCTGTGTACTTCCTTCATGGACGGCGCTGCCAAGGAGGCAAGTGTCTCTAACCGAAAGGAGAGAGGGCCCAGAAAATGAGCCAGCAATACCACTGAAAAGCACAGGGCGATAGAAAAGGAGTAGGGTAGGAAAGGGTTAGGGTGCAGAGGGTGTCCCCTGCCAGAGAGCGCGCCCTTGTGGGAGATAGTTATAGACCGGTCAGGGTTGGAGACACTGAGGAACTAAAGCCTGGGATCAAAATGATTCTGTTATATGTCCCCACTCCTTTCCCAGCCTCTCTCTAAAGAGACAAGCTACGGTTACCCTACAGAAAAAGGAAAGGAAGGACGTGGGCTATCTCACTCCCTCTTGTACCTGTTCACTTAACTCTTCCATCCTCTTTGCACCACTTACTGGTTGTGTAACCTCTGAACCTCAGTTTCTTCACGTGTAAAATGGGCATAATACGTCCTTTGTGGAGTTGTCCTGAGAGTTTGATAAAATAAGACATTTAAACTCAAGTGGAAATCTGCTTGGGGGAAGGTTGAGCAGATACATTATACTTTTCCCTAGTCCTACTGCTAAATGCAACTAAAACCCTGGATATTTACAAAACAAGCCTAAGAAAATTACAAGACTCTGAAAAGGGAGAAAGAAGAAGGTAAAGCAGCCAGGACCTCAGGACCCCTGGAAGGGTAGGTGGTGAGTTCCCTGGTTTTCTTCTTGCTAATGTGTCCCAGACTTGGAGCTGAAGAAGCCAGCAACCTGGAAGCATCAACAGGCAGAGACAAAAACAGCTCCAACAAAAGCCTCCTCTTTCTAGCCAAAGGGGAAGCCTAAACAGACAGAAATCCTCTAGACAATAACCACTCTACTCCAGCCCAACATCACAGAGAACACTGTGGTCCCACCCCCACAGAAATGCTGAGTGGAGCCAAGACACCATCCTCATCAGTTAGCAATGATGCACACCCGCCCCTCCTGCTGAAATGGTTTCAGAGAAGACCACATGGGGAGCATGAGCTTCAATGCCCCACTCTGTGGTAACAAGGTACCCCTTCCCCTCCCTGCTGGGATGGTATCAGCTGAGACCTAGCAAAGAGTAAGGACTTTCACAACCGCCCAGGAGGGTGTGAAGGAGGACACGTGGGGAGCAATAACAAGGCACTCCGACCCCTCTCAACTGTGGTGTTAGCAGCAGAAGCAAATGGGGAGCCAGAGCTTCCACCCCTGTCCAGCAGTGATGCAGCACCCTTTTCTCACCTGGGTATCAAGGAGGACAAGAAGTGGGGAACCTAGATTTCTGTCTCCATCTGGCAGAAGAAAGGCAGTCCTCCCACCTCGTGCTGCCAGGAAAAGCCAGCTTAAAGAGAAAGTTTAAATAATATCCAGAGTCTCATAACATAATACTCAAAATGTCCAGGTTTCAATAAAAATTCGCTCGTCATTCCAAGAACCAGGGAAGTCTCAACTTGAATGTAAAGCCGTGATCACTGGATGCCCTCACTGCGATGATTGGCACGTTAGAGTTTCCTGACAAAGACTTTAGGGCGGCTCTTATAACAATGTTTCACTGAGCGATTATGAACATAATTGAAACAAACTTTAAAAAGTTTTACTGAAGAAATAGAATGTACATGAAAAGAAATTATAAGGACCCATGGACAATGACAATGTGGGGGGAATTGAATGGGAGAGGGAGGACAGGGGAGAGTAATGGGGGGAAATGGGGCAACTATAATTGAACAATAAAAAAAAAGAAAATTCAAATGAAAATTTGAGAACTGAAGAAAGTAACAAGAAACATGAAAAGCTCCATGGATAGACCCAACCTCAGAATAAAGGGAATAGGTGAATCAGTGAACTTGAATGAAACAACAGAAATTACCCAGCCTAAGCTATAAGAAGAACATAGACTGAAAAATAAAATGAGCTGAGCTTTAAGCTGTCAGTGGGACGATAGCAAGAGTCTTAAACTGGTGTCCTGGAAAGAAAGGAGAGGGGGATCCTACTGAAAAAGCATGTGCAGAAATGGTTACTGAAAACTGCCCAAACTCGGCAACTAGAAATCAATAACCAAAGATAACAGGACACTCCCCAAACACTTAGAAACAAAACAACACATTTCTAAGCAATCCATGGGTCAAAGAGTAATCTCAAGGGAAATCAAAACATATATCTGAACTGAATTAAAATGAAAATACTACATGTGCAAATTGGCAGAACACAGCTCGCACAAGCTGAGAGGGAAGTTTGGAGACCTGCTGCTTACAGAAAAGAGGAGAAGCCTCAGGTCGAAGTTCCTACTTCAAGGACATAGAAGAAGAAGAGGAAAATAAATCCAAAGGAAGTAAAAGAAAAGAAATAATAAGATAAGAACAGAAATAAATGATTTTGGGAGAAGTAAAACAATAGGGAAAAGTCAATGAAACCAAAAGCTTGTTCTTCGAAAAGATCAAAAAAATGATCAAAGCTCTAGCAGGACTGACAAAGTAGCAAAGGCAGAAGACACAAATTAACAACCTTGGGGATGAAACAGGTGTGATTAGAGGCCCTGCAGACATCAAAAGAGTAAGGGGATACTATGACACATAAATTTGACAACTTAGAAAAATGCAACAATCCCTTAGAAAATGCACATTACCACAACTCGGTATAAAACAATTGTTGTTTTTGCAACACTAGTAATAATCATCTCACATCCCGGTATAAATGGAGTAGAGAAACTTTTCCAAGGTCACACAGGGAGTTAGCACGTAGAGAAAAAGCTGAAAGCCTGCCAGACGCGACCATGTCCAGCAGGTGGAGGGGTGCTGCGGCCCATCGTGTGACAGTTTCTCCCAGCTGGGGCAAAGCTGTTAAGTGGAGAGAGCTATCTAACTCTGTGTGAAAAGTGAGCCAGGGCTGAGTCCTCTTACTACAATTCCTGTCCCTTCCTGACCATCGGGGGTCCTCTGTACTTTATTTTCCTAACTCAAGAGCAAGTTTTGATGGCAAAACATCATTGAAGAACCTCCATTTTGTTAGAAAAAATAAAATTATAAATGTATTGTTAACTTTGTGTATTATCTTTGTTTTCCAGCCTTGTCAAGTGCAGTGTCTCTGAGCCTTTGTTCCCCATTTCTGAGACAGAATAGCAACAACTCCCCATCCAGGGGCAAAGAGAAGCAAACAGACCATGATTTGTTAATTCTTTAAATAAACTGGAGGAAGGAAGGAAGGAAGGAAGGAAGGAAGGAAGGAAAGTATTATCACTGTCTTTAACTGGAAAAAATATCTATACCTTGAATGAGGTCATCTGCATCATAAGCAATATTTTTAAATGTATTAATAGCTAAACAAAGTTTTTTAAAAAATATTTTGTGTTTATTTCTTTATTAGCAAGAGGGGAAGGGAAAGAGGAAAAGAGGGAAAGAAACATCCATGTGCAAGAGAGACATTGATCGGCTGCCTCTCGCACATGTCCTGACTGGGACCTGGCCTGCAACCCAGGCATGTGCCCTTACTGGGAATCAAACCAGCAACGCTTTAGTTCACAGGCCAGTGCTCAACCCACTAAGCAGACCAGCCAGGGCATAGACAGAGTTTTCTAAACAAGTAATATCAGAACATTTTAATTCAAAACCCGTGAAAGTAATAATGTACAATTACCCATGTTGACATACATATTATTAATCATCTACACAGAATTTTAGGTCTGTGTGTCAACAACCATATGTAGGTAGTCCCTGAAGAAAACCTAGGGTTTCCTTTAATAACTGATTGTATGTTTAGAATAATAACAGCTTAGGAATGCAACATGTTGGTCAGTTTTCTAAATGAAAAGCTTCAGAACGCTAGCAAAAGGAGAGGAAAGAGAAATGGGGGCAGGGAGCCCTACTTATTATGCATGCATATTTGTTAACAGTAGGAGAAAATTTTATAGATAATTTTTAAGCAAGGAAAAATCAAAGTAGCAATTTTATCAAAAACATATCACTCTCTATACAATGGTGATTTGCTAGGTATGTTCCATTTCTTACATCACCTCCTTTAATCTCCCATCATCTCTGTTAAGGCAGGTACCAACTGACCCCATTTCACAGATGAGCAAGCTGAGGTTCAAAGAAAGGAAGTAATCTGTCTACAGTCTCACAAGAAGTGTCAAGACTGGGATTTGAACCCAAATTCTTGCCACTGCTTGTGTTTGTTAGATTGGCTTCATGTTATTTAATAAAATCCACAGAACTGTTGAAATAATCAACAGGTATTAAAGCCCAAGTGGTGGTCGGTCTCCTCTCACCAAGCTGTACTGAAGAAACCAAACACTTGTGGAAGAAAACACTGTTAGGCCTGCTGTGGAGTTCGTTTTGTTGGAGTGGGATTCAGACTTTCTGGCCTGCTTTCCTTTCATTTTCCCTTCGAGTTTGCCTTCTGAGTGCCACCAGTAAATTTCAGTGCTTTCTCTTAATCATGAAGAAGGAATGCATGTACCAAAACAGGAAACTTAAAATTGTTTCGAATGTTTTCATTGACTGCATGTTCCATCCTGGAAATCCCCACAGAAATTAAATCTGTGATCAGTGACCTGAGAATCTCCCAAACTACCGAGACAAAGCCTCACACAGATCAGTGTTATGAAGGTTAAGAAAACTGAACTCTGCCGTCATTAACAATTGATTTGATACTGGGTGCTGTGAGAAACTGGTGTCATAAGACACTGCCTTGAACTAATTGTTTTTCATGTTTATTTTAGCAACTTATGAAGTTGGAATTGAAGAACTCCAAAAGGTATTCTTCCTCTCTTCTTAACAAATTTCTAACTAAAACAAGGGTGCAGAGTTGATTCTAAAGTAGTGTCTTATGAGGGAGAAAAGGTCATTTTTTTTCAGTTTTCCTCTGATTTCTGAGGCTTTTCCAGACCCCAGCTGATGAGACTCTGAAGCCCTGTAACATCAGGGACAGCGGGCGTGTGATGGAAGGGTGGGAAGAGATGATATGATCCTTGTTCTTTCCCTGCCCCTTGTCTACAGCAGCCAGCGCCAGTGGGCCCTTACTGTCTCTGCAGAGAGCAGGGTCTTTATGCCCCATGCTTTCACAGAGCGACCATACCCTTGAAGGCCCATTTTCTGGGCTCCTGGTGGGCACAGTGCTGGGAAACCTCTTGGAGGCAATGCAGCAAATTGATTAGGGCCCAGACAGAATCACTGGCCTCAATCCCAGCTGCTGGCTGCCTAACCTTGAATCTCCATTTCCTTACCAATAAACTAGACATAACAGAAATACCCACATCTGGAATCATTGTGAGAAGGAATGTAAGGTAAATTCAGGTAAACAGTTTCGTAGGAAGTCCCTGCTGTCTGCTCCATGCATTTTGCTTCTCTGAGCTTCCACTGTATCTTCTGTAAAATGGTGCATTCTCCATGAGGGCAGGAAGCATGTGCCTTGTGGTTACTGTACCTGCAACTGTAGATGCTCAATACAGAAGGGGACCAACACTAGTTTCACTGAATTGCTGAGAAAACTAAGACAGAGGAGGTAAGCACCTAGTATTGTACCTAGCACACAGTAGGCACTTACCTAATGCTGAGACTGGGTCAGTTAAGGTTCTACTCTTTTCTCACTGAGTACCTTTAGTTTAGATCTTTTAACTTCCTGCTCCAGGTTTCTTATGCTTACTGGAAAGGATTGCTTATTGTGGTTAGATAACTATAAATGGTTATTATTCCTATTAGTGAACACAGAAGCATTCCATTAAAATGCTTCACTTACCTGGCAACACCAGCAAGTAATAAACTTTTCTGTAAAGTGAACTCTCCAAAGGACAAAATTTTATCTCATGCAAAATAAAAAAAAAAAAAGCTTGAAAGTATTTTTAATTTTTAATTACATTTTTAGTCTTCAGATGTATACTATGTTCATCTCTGTATCTTGACTCGGTGGCTGGAAACCATTGCCACCCTTTCTTGGTGACTGGAACACAAGGGGCTAAGTGGCCGCAGTCCCTGCTCTTCTTTGGGATTCGCTATTGGGCCCTGTAGGTGCTCAGCGCTGGTCACCTTTACACCAAACCACCTCGAGCCTGTTCACTGTAATTGTTTCCTGACATTCGTCACTCCTTTCCACTCTCAGTATCTTCGTGTCTAACACCGAGTCTCTCACGTGGTCAGACACGTGTGTACCAGGTCCCTGCTGTGTGCCAGGCACGTGGGCACACACGGTAGCAGTGCTTCCACTTTACAGGTGAGACCTCAAGGCCCAGGGGAGTTCACCTCTTAGTAATGTAGCAGAGACCTAAAGCGAGGGCTGTCTGACTTACTCTACCAGTGCTGACACCCAAGTTGCTAGAATTACACAGAAAATAAAACCCAGCAGTCCCTGAATGAAGGCCTGCGGGGCTCCCCTAAAAGGAGAGCAGCAGACCTGCTGGACCTGGATGGCGCAGCAGCATTTTGGATGCTGAGGTATTCTCTGTTTCCTTCAGGGTTCTCGGCTATATCCCTAATACTGAATGGCATCAACTCTGTGATGACTAAATTACGTGGAGGGCTATGTTGTTGTCACTGGGATGTAATTTTAATGGAGTCAAACCTAGATCACGCGAGAGCTGATTTTTGATCAGAGAGTGCACGGTCAGGGAGGGAGAATTCCCAGCATGATCTGCACACTTGCCAATTTGGCCACTGAAATACAGGAGTGAGCAAGAGTGGGTTCACAGTTGCCTTGTGACATTCTTTTGAGTTAATAAAGCCATTGCAATAATCATAGCCTGCATGTCTTTTTTCCATATGAACAGCGATAAACCTACATTTGCCCACCCCTGTATTGTTTGAATATCACAAGTTCATACTTTCTCATACGACTTAACAGTTTTCTATTCTACAGGTGCATTCCTGGAAAGGTAGGCAGGAAACGGTTTGTTTTTCTTAGTGAAATCATACATTCCCTCTTGCATACACTGTAACATCAGAAGTGCTTGTTTTCTTTTCAGACTGACCAGCAGTCTCCTGGCAATGGTTGATGGAATTTTCTGCTGTCAGTGTCTACATTTGCTTGTATTGAGATCACGCCCACCTCACCTGTCCATCCGGTCTCTAATGACCTGTAACCAGAGACCCAATTGATTAGGATAGACTTATGAAAATGACCATTTTCCTTTTACTTTCAGCCTTGGAAGAGTTTTCTCCACCAAGAACTTAGGTGAGTTTTTATCTTCAAAAGGAAAAGGACTAACCCAGGCACTGCCTCTCTGATGACTGACCTGGTATTCCTGGATGGGCCCACTCTGATTCCAGCGCCTGACCTGGGGCAGCACCCCATGCTGTGCAAGGTACCTGGTGCAGAGAAGGTGCCCACACTGCCCTCACTCACCCTGGGACACCCTGAGTCCCCAGTGTGTGCGAGCCACTGGGACTGTAGCAGTGACGGAGGTCTAGCTACCACTCTTAGGGACCCCTGGATTAGAGGATGCATCACACAATCTGACAGGCATGTGACAATCATGGGAATCCCCAGGAACTTAAAATTTCCAAAATGAGCCATGCTATTTCAAGTCTCTTTGCCTTTGCTCATTTAATAAACTCACCCCAACTTAATGATCTGCTGACCATCAAATGACTCCTCCTATAAGAAGTCTTCCTTGATTTCCTCTCCTTCAGGGGGTGGTAACCAGTTCCTTTGCTGTGGTACCACTGTGAGGTACACATGTGTATGCACTAATGTCACCATGCATTTATGTGTTAACATGCCAGTTCATTCTCACTCCCCCCCAACTATCTTGCCTTTGAGCTCCTGTGGGCAGGGCCCATGTTTCCTTGTTCTTGGTATTCCTGGCAGCTCTCATGCCTCCTGACCCAGAGCAGGGTGTTGGCACATAGCAGTGGTCATACCTTCCTCTTCAGAGTCACTTTCCCCCAGAGTTATTTTTAATGCATTAGAATAAACATAGTTGGTGAGCTCTGAGGGAGCAAGTGTCAAAATTTCCTGGCTGAGGTCAGAAACACAGGTGCTGGATATTGGGGTGCCTGCTTCAGCTCCCTTTGTCCCTCTCTTTGATTCCTGCCTGTGCCCCATGGTTAACCCTTTAGCACCTAGCACAGTGTGGACATATGATGGGCACATGTCAAATAAGTAATTACTCAGTTCAGCATTCCTTGAGCTTATACTTTGTTCAGACACTGTGAGCTTCTGAGGTACAAAAATGAATAGAATACATTTTCTAGCCTTGGTTCAAGATGGGAGTGAAGGCCGGAGTGGTTGGTGGGGGGATCATTTGGAGGTCATAATGACCACATAAATAGGAAATTACAGTGTAATATAATCAGTGCTGTGGAAGTTGTAAAGACAGAGGAGGGGCTCCAGGCATGCTTCCTCCAAGAGTGAGAGCTGAGCTGAAGCTTGAAAGACACATAGGAATTGTCCAGGTGAAAATGGTAGAATGCAGGTCCCAGGTACAGAAAAAGTATGAGGCAACAAGTGTTACCCAGTGAGGCTGGTACAGGACCCACCAATGGTTTGAGAATGCAGAGCATAAAGTGCCATAGGAACAAAGCTAGGGCAGTGTGTGAAGCTGGACGCAGGAGCGGCCAGCGCTCCCTAGCATGTCATTTAAACCAGCCCTTTCCAATGGAAATCTGCGCAAGTCCATATCATTTGGTTCTGCTAGCCATATTTCAAAAGATAAAAGAAACAGTTGAAATTAATTTTCATAATGTGTTTTATTAATATTTATTCAGTCTAACCAATATGTAATCATTATTAAAATTGTTACTGAGGTATTTATATTCTTTTTTTGCATAGCAGATCTTCAAAATCCTGATGTATTCTCATTTTACCCTTACAGCTCAGTTGGGACCAGACACATTTCACATGTTCAGTAGCCACACGTGGACTGTAGCCACGGTACTGGGCAGCACAAATTTAGACTGTCCTGTCAGGGAGAATTACAAAAGAATTTCAAAGCAGAGATAATGTGCTCTCTCCCCTATAATATTATTCCTGTAAGTCACAATGTTAAATTTAATTTGAGAGTTAGTTATGGAGACCCACCTGTGTGGAAACTACTGGACAGGGTCTGAGGGGTGGGAAGATGCATTACAGAGGACACATGCATCAACAAGGCAGGTAAATGTGTCAGCAGGAATAGCAATTGCAATGGGAATGAAAAAAATGGGGTGACTCTAACTCAGCAAATGCTGTGATGAAGAAAAGGACACCAATTATTAAGAGTCCATTACATGCTATAAACAATGTGAAGCTTTCAACATTTTTATCACATTTCATTCTTATGGCAACCATGGAAATTGGCATTGTGACTGTTCATTTATGGATGAAAACATTTGATTTTTAGAAAGGTTAATCTTAGACTTTTAGAAAAACAAACAGTGAGGATTAGAATCCAGCCCTCACTTCACAGCCCCTGTTCATGACAGAAGAACCAGGGATGGCCTGAAGGGTGGACAAGAGTACATAGTAATTAGATTAATGAATGAAACTCTTTCAAACTCTCTCCACTGTCTTTCAGAACAGTCCACTCTCTCTGGTGTTTCTCCTTCCTTCGTGCCCACTTCTTTTCATATGAGGGCTCTTCTCTGCTTTCCATGGAGACATGGTTGTAGTGTTATCCAGTTCACATAATGCCAGAAACAGAACTTCTCATGTGGAGGTGATGCTCTCCAGCCTCTGTCCTTGGTCCTGCTCCTCACTACACTCTCCACCTTGATCTCTCCTCCACTCCTGCTGTCTGCACACTGGTGCGTGGCTGTCATTCACGTCACTAGGGAACACTCTCTGCCGGGTGCCGTGCTATTGCTACCACAGGTTCTGTAGCACCAGTGGGGATACACACAATGAATAAGAGAATGCTGCCTCCTTGCAACTTGATTTTCAGTCAGTTGACAAGGGGTCATGGAGGTCTGGAGGCAAATCCCTAGGCAGCCCATTATAATACAAGATAGAAGGACTAAGTGTTGGAAGAGCAAATAAGAAGGTGGGACTGCTCAGGAGAATCAGGGAAAGATTCTCAGAGACAAGATGATTTGGACAAGCTGAGAAGGGTGCAGTGTATTTCAGCAATAGAAGATGTGGAATGCATGTCTGACCAAGGAAATAGAGATAAAAAGGGAGAGTTGCTCAAAGTAGCACCATGGCTTTTGGAAATCACCAGAGTCTTGACTAGAGCAAAGGTGCAGGGGTGGAGCAGAGGGTGATGGGGTGGAAAGAAAGGCAGGGGCCAGATCACTAAGGGGCCTACATTTTCTCCTACATGCAATAGGGGGTTATTAGAGATTTTGAGCAGAAATTTACTCTGGCATTAATTGGAGCAGGCAGAAACTCAGAGGAACCCTCTGTGGTTGACTGGATCCTGAGAGCCCTCATCTTTAAATATATATATGAAGAAGAGGGATTCACATCTGTTTGAATTCATTTTTCCCATTCATTTCTTTTAGGATCTAGTAGTACACTATTATCTAAATATTCTAAACTTAATTTTTTTCCTGGTATTTCTTCTCATTTCAGCCCTGAACATGAAGATGCCAATAAAACAATGAAGGAAAAAGAGCCAGATAAATTGAAACTTCATAAAAGAGAAAGGGACCTACATTCAGACCATCTTTTTGAGGTATCTGCATTCTAGGGTTCCAGATCAAATGGTACAGCTCAGCTGAGTGATAGGAGCAGTTCATGGGGTGACTTTAGAGGGTGAGACATGTAGCTCTCCAGAGAGACAAAGTCAGGAGGTATGGTGGACTTTGAAGGCATTATATCAAGGGTATGAATGTGACAATTCACACTGAGCTCTAGCCTTGCACTTTCCAGGCCTTAGAAGCAGGGCTGGGACTAGTGTGAGGTCAGCAAGTCACCCAGTGGACAAAATACAAAGAAACATTCAGGGGCTGATCCTCCACCTGCAAAACCCCAGAGGGAGGGTTCGGTGCTCTTAAACCCTGCTTAGAGGAGTGACTTAGCCTCTAAACTCGGTCATCTCATCTGTGAAGTCAGAATCAATAATCTTACCAAACTACCATCCCCATGACTATCCTCAATCATGATCATAAAATGAAATAATGTGCATGAAAGTGCTTTTTAGGCCATAAGCTACCATAAAAATGAAATGTATTATTGTTGTCAATTAATTAACTAGTTGGCTGATTAATATTTATTAATAGTAAATACTGTATATTTGTGTACACTAATATCCAATTGACACTATTCCCTCCAAAGTGGTATGATTGGAGGCTTAACTAATAAACTCTACCAGGACTACTACCAGTGCATAAAACATTCTAGATACTTGTATAATAGCTGCCTGTATAGATACTTTATAATATCAAATCGTTCCAGCTTCATCCGCAGAGACTGGAGAAATTAGACAGCTTGGTGGTGGTGGGAGCCCACGCTGGTGTGTTGGCCCAGAGGCCAGGCTGGACCAGGTTAGGTGTTTATAGAGTATCACAAAGCAGCATAATTTGGAGGAGTAAGTCACTAACTATGAAAGACAGGGACCAGAGCCAGTAAAACAGCATCTTGTGTCAAGGCCAGAGGGCAGAGGGGCAGGGCCATAAATGGGTGATGAGGCCAGAGATCAGGAAGAGGTTTATCAGAAAGGCAGGAGAGGAGCATGATTAAGGAATATCAATCATGCAAGAGCAAGAGCAGGCTGCATTCCTTCTCAGTGCTGGCCACAGGAAGAGAGCCAGGTATGGAGTTGGGCTACCACCAAAGGGACATATTCCTACTTTCATAGAGTGGATTTGAGTTTTGGATATTGTGAGAAGTTATTTGGAATGTGTTAGACAGATGAAGTGGGTGGTCTAGCTGGGCAGTGCTCTTTGAGATCAAATACAAGCTATAAGTTAGTAAATACATAACTGAAAGAAGGTGGCTGCCATACGTATGTGAAACGTTGACTTCATTTCTTCCTTGTTACCTTTCCCATTTAAAAGAATCCTTCTTGGCTATGTGACTAAAAAGAATGCCCCTCCTCTATTCTCCTCTTAATTTGCTCAGATCCCACTAAGAATGCAGGAAACTCCATGCCTTATATCTGTTGATTACTTTAGCTTTCTCCAAGTACTTTCAAATGTATCATCATGTCCACTTGTTGTCTTCCCCTGTCCTTCCCGCTGGCCCTTCAGATCCTCCCTGGTCTGTGGCTTCCATACTGCCCTCTTGAGGACACTGACACTTCTTCAACTACCTGAGCCTCCATACATGCTGCTTTATCTGCCAGGTGTTCCTTTACCCCACAACCAATGTCTTACTTCCATTCTAAAACTATTCTAAAAAAAACACAGTTTAATGAAACCTGCCTTTGAAGTCTCTCCCAATGCTGTCTCTGTGCCAAGATATTTGACCTCCTCCTCTGTTTCCATCCCCCAGTAAGCAATACTGCTGTAAAAATCTTGCCTCATTATACCTTAGTTATTTGCATGTATTGTCTCCATGTGTGTAAACCACGGTGTTTACTGCATCTCTCTATCTCCAGAGCTTAGCATGTTATCTCACCTTCAGTAAGTGTTTAACAAATGACAGAAATAATTGAGGAGGAACAGGAGAATGGTGGGTGGAAAGAGGAAACGTCAGGTAAAAGGAACAAAGCATCCCTTAGGGGTCAAGAGCACAAAGGTCACAGGTTTATTTGCACAAAGGTTTATGAGCACAAAGGCCTCAGTATATTATTAGCTGTGCAACCAGAGGCCAGCTGTTTAACCTTTCCAAACTCTTTGTCAAGAGGACTAATGAAGATTAAGAGCAATTAAATAGCTAAAGAGCCTGCCCTGCAGTCAGTGCTCCATTATATCCTTATTGCCTGCTGCAGCCGCCTCTGTGCCCAGCTTTCACTGGCCATTCAGAGGTGAGCAAAAGATGCAGTATGAGTCCTCAGGAAGCTTAGAGCCTAGTAAGAGAGTGTTAAATAAAACCATAAATAATTGCTCTCTGTGAGGAATGAATAGATGACAGCATGAGTAAGCAAAGAACTAAATAGCTAAGTCAAAGCCCCGTCACCCTCTTCCTATTGTGTGTATTTAGGTGGGTGCCTGTGAAGAGAAACCAGGGAAAGCCCCAATGATGAAGGTTCACAGACATATGGAGAGCATGCTGGCCAGAAAGCAGGATGCTGTGATTGACACCATCCAGACAAAGGCCTACCCCAAGGACCTGAAGCTGCTCAGGCACTTCCAAGGCCAATGTAAGTTCCATTTCCTCCTGCTTCTCTTTACCACTAAATCATTCTAAAGCTGTGCATTGCCAAGATTTCAACTTTTTCTAAGTATTTATTGAACATCTGTTATGTACCAAATAACTTGACTTAGTGAGGCAGCTGAGCAGTAGTGGAAAGACCACTGGATTTAGAAGGAGAAGACCTGAGTTTGATCTGGATTCTAATACTTATTAGCCATGTGGTAACTTCATATTCCTGAAGCTTGATTTCTTTATTTATAGAAAGACTAAACTGGAAAGCATGTCACATAATAGGCACTCAGCAAATATTTAGTCCCTTTTTAATCTATCAGCTCCTGTTGGGTGTTTTGTGTAGGCCCAAGTAATCGATACCCTGATGATATAGCAGTACAATATTGTTATTTGACTTTATTTAGGTTGCATTTTACCTTCACTTGATTGCAAATAATAGTGAGTAATAGTCAAATCATACTTTCTTAAGGAAAAGAAAAGAAAAACAGGAGCTTCATCTAGCAGAAAGTCTGGGTGGTACAGGGACACAAACAATATTATAAGGACTCAATATTACTTTTCTACTCCTGGCTTTGCTCTGCTCTGGGTCAGCTCCATTTTTAGACACATTCCACCCTTGTGGAGGCAAGATGACATCTAGAAATGACAGACTTAGACCCTATCCTCTCAGGAATCCCAGAGGAAAACAGCAAACTGTTATACTCTCAACAGTTATAAGAAAAGGCCCAGATCTGAGTCTCACTGGCTTTGCTTGGGTCACATGCCATCCCTGAACCAGTCATTACAAGTGGGGGATACGATGCTCTGGTTGACCCAGCCTGGGTCATAAACTCACTCCTAGCTAGGGGTAGAGTCAGTGCTAGAAAAACTACATAACCCCAGACTGAAGATTTCCCAAGGAAAATCAGAGGGCTGTTACTAGAAAAGAGGGATGGAGGTAGACACGAGATAGACAAAGAAAACAGATGTCTACTCCAGCTCAGTAAGCCACAGCCAACTACTGACATTTCATAAAGTATCATAATCCAGTTATAGAAGAATAAATGTATAGTGATCATAAGATAGACTCAAGGCGCCTCCAGGCTAGCTGGCCTCATCCCTGCCACACACCCTCTTCCCTGCACACTCTCTGCTCTGTTCTCAGCTTACTGACTATGGCATGTGCTTAAGAGCTCCTATAATTTTGCTTGATCTCTTTCCTCTGTCTGAAATGCCTTTATGCTCATTCTCTACCTGCTGATATCCTATTAGTCCTTTCAGGTCTATTTCAAAAGTCACTTCTTTGAGGCCTCGCTAACCTCCTTCCATCCTCATTCCCACACTCCAGGGACCACAAGTCCTCCCACCCCTGTTTCCATGACACTGAGCAACTGGATGACCATGCTGATGTGTGAGGCTTTAGAGTGGACCAGTTCTGAAACCCAGGAGCACTTCATACTAATCCTGTAACCTTGGAAAATTTCCTTACTTTCTTGTGTAAATGAGGATACTACCACATATTTCCCAGTGCTGTTTGTCACTGCATATAAAGTGTCTGGTTCATATGCTAAATAACTGTTAGTGCTCTTCATTCGTTTTTATTTCTGAAAAATTACAGCATGCCTTACATTATAATTCACCACGCACATGCTTGTCTCCCATGGCATACTGTGAGCATCTTGAGATCAGAGACCATTTGGTATTCTTCTCTGTATCTCCATAACCTGGCACAATGTCTGGCGTACTTGAGCTGCCTAACAAAATTTTGGTAAGTAAAAGAATGAAAGAATAAATCAGACTTTAGTTTCTGACACAATAGTAGATTAGACAATCTGGCTCTCCTGACAGAAACAAGTAAAGAATAAAAGTTTTTAAAATTTATAGAAGTATCATAGAACTGATATAAAAAGATAACATTTACATACCTGCAGTGACCAGGAATCCTGGGAAAAAGTGAGCACCAAAATTAGTTTTGCCCTGAGGGTTTTTACTGAGCTCTGAATCCCCTGAGCTCCTATTTGACTGCAGGACAGGCAGAGTGTAGGGGCTCCATCCCAGGGCCTGCCCAGAGGGAGTTTATAATGGGAGACTCCTGCATAAAGTTGGGACCCCAACGGGTTACAGCCACACTTCAAGAATAAACAAGACTGCACCTATAGTTAACATTACTGTACTGTGTACTTATAAATCTAAGATGGTAGCTCTCATGTGTTCTTACTACAGTAAACATTTTTTAATTAAAAAAAGATTTGGGGCAGGGGAGACATTTCTGATTAGGTGAAGGAGAAAGCACAGAGGTAGCATTAATTTTAAATTCATGACTTAAGATGAAAAATGGGTAGGATTATAGGGGGAGAAATGGAAGAGAGGAAATTAAGTTGAAGTAAATAAAATAGTTAAAGGAGAGCCCTGAATTTGGGGCTGAAAGACATTGTCATACAATTATGTAATGCCCATGGTGGGTCACTATAGATATGGGGATTATGCTGTGATGAGAACAGTCTGAAGAAGATTATTCTCAGCAGTCCACACATATTACTAAAGTACAGAGGGAGTTGCTGAACCCACTAATAAGTTTTTTACAATACTTATGATGGGTAGCACAAAATGCTTAGTTGGAGAGAGTGAGTATGAAACAGGAAAGTTTGAGGAAAAATGTGAGTGTTTTTATTTAAATAATCCTATTCAAGTAGATCTCTTGAAAAAATGAACAAAATAAAAATATTGCTTCTTTGATTGGAAAAATAAAACAATTAGCAACATAAACCCCACTGAGAAGAAACAAATTTGCCCGTTTTTACCTGTATGCTAAATTAGTTATCAAAAGCTAATCCTCATGTGTATCTGTAGCTCAAATTCACCCTATCTGTGTGGTCCAAAAGAAACCTAGTTGAATCTAAAGTGGTACCAGCTTGGTAGCTCTCCCAGACAATTGGTACCAGTGAACATAAATCCTCTTTGATGAAATTCTACCTTTACCAAGGTTTTAAATGATTCCCACAAAGTGATTTTTTAAAAATTTAACAGTTCATAGACAAAAACAAAACAAAACTAAACACACAATTGCAGTGAGTAAAAACTAGCAGAACAACAGATACCAGAAACCAACCTGCAAAATATTATAGATATTATGGTTATAAGATACAAAACATAACTATATTTAATATTTTTAAAATAAAGAGAATAAACAGATTGGAAAAAAGATTAAAAAATGATTGATAAACTAGTATAGAAATACGGTGAATGAATTACACACCAGATTAGACACAGCTGAAGAGGAAATCAATGAACTAGTAGGTAATTACAGGGAAATTATCAAAAATTCATTCTACAGGGGAAATGATTGAAAAAGAATGAAAGAGAGGACAAGAGTCATGAAGGACAGAATGAGAGTCATTTTTTTAAACCCTCACCTGAAGACATGTGTATTGATTTGAGAGAGGGTGTGGACGGAGGGAGAGAAACATCAATTGGTTGTCTCCTGCATGCGCCCCAAGTGGGGACTGAACCTGCAACCCAGGCATGTGCCCTGACTGGCAGTCAAACTCATGATCTTTTGGTTTATGGGATGATGCTCTAACCAACTAAGCCAAACAAGCCAGGGCAAATGAGAATCTATTTTTAAAAATATGTAATCTTTATTATATTTTTTCCATTACCATTTAATCCCCTTATACCTCCCTCCCCCCAGCAATCACCACCCTGTTGTCCATGTCCATCATAAAATGAGAGTTCTATGAAAGAACACTAGAAGGCATGGGGAAGAGGAAATAATAAATTAAAAAGGCAATATCTGATAATTTTCAGAATTGTTGAAAGATAATCAATATGCAGATCCATGAACACTAAAGTTCTGAAGTAGAAAAAGTAAAAGAAATCTACAACTAGTCATATCTTAGAGAAATTGAAGAACACTAAAGAATGAGAGAATATCTGAAAATACCTTAAAAGCACACCAAGGGAAAAGACCAGTTGCCTATAAACAAACAAGTAGGAATTTGTTGAGTTCTTGAAACTAAGAATGTCTAAGCAGAATATAATGCTGCTGAAAGATTTCTTTTTTTTTAAAGCATTCTCAAATCTTTCTTATGTGACCAGCATGGTTCTGCAGTATTTGCTTTGTAGCTTACTTAGTCCACTGGACAACCCTGAGAGAGTGCAGGCTATCACCACCCCTTGTTGCAGATGAGAACCCTGAGGCCCGAAAGCCTGAGCTCACCTTTCCACAGGTCCCATCCCTGTGAAGCTGCGAGCCTGCCCTCTGGCCCAGGCAGGGGGCCTGCAGAGTCCTTGCTCTTAGCTGTCATGCTCAGGGCCGGTGGGAGAGGCTTCATGAAGATTTGCCTCTCGCTCTGCTTGATTGAGCTCCAAGATTTTGACAATAAAAAGACAGTTAAAAGTAAAGCCTACAAAACATTCAAAACTAGTTAGTTAAATAAAGAAGAGGAGGAAGAGCAAACATAACAATTAAGTCTCGCTGAAAGATCTTAAATGTCTACCCAGAATTATATAACTAGTGAAATGCCTGTGAAGAATGAAGAGAAAAAAATAAAATATTTTCAGACAAACAAAAACTGAGGTATTTTAATGACCAAAACTTTCTAAAGGAACTTCTGAAGCAGGTACTCAGGCGGGAGGCAAATAATCCCACATGGAGAATTCTGGGTGCAAGAAAGTAAGCTGAGCAAAAATATTAACCAAATAAAACATTGATGTAAAATTAGGAGAAAGAACTAAAATATTGACATTAATAGTACATACCTTGGGGAGGTGATCAAAGTTGAAGACTTCTAAGGTTTTCAACTGACAGTAACAATATTAATTCACTTTAACTTGAAAAGAGTTAGAATAGCTAGGATACATTCATCAAAAGATACCAATCAAAGAATGAAAGGCACATTACAGAGTGGAAGATATTTGATTTAGGACAGGAGACTGAATCAAAGGACTCATATATGAAATATGTATGTGAGTTCTATAAACACCCTCTGTCCAGAAAATATGAAATGGAAATATTTTATATTTCTATAAACATCCTGTATTTAGAATATATAAAATAGAAATTATTCAGAAAAAAAGAAATTTAGAGAAATTGGGAAAATATTTGAGTGGATACTTCACCAAAAAGGTTATCCAAAAGGCAAATACACTATATAAAGCTGTACAAGTCTCAGAGAAATTACACTACATAGCCACCAAAATGGGTAAAGAAAAAAAAAAAGACTAAATATATCAAGTGTTAGTGAAGTTATGGAACAACCTGAACTCTTCTACACTGTTGGGATTGTAAACTGGGATGATCCCACTGGGAAACTGTTTAGTGGTGTCTATTAAATCCTAACATGCACATATTCTGTGACCTCGGAATTCCATGCCTATTCTCATATCCAACAGAAGTGCATACTTCAGTCTACCAAGACATATACAACTTGTTTATGGCAGAATTCTTTTTTTATAATATCCTTAAACTGGAAACCATCCAAATATCCATCAAAAGTAGAATGGAGAAACAAATTATAGTATATTCACACAACAGTTATAAGAATGAAGAAATTACAACTATACCCAACAATATGGATGGATCTCACAAACTTAACATTGAATGAAAGGCAACACCAAAGATGACATTCTAAATGATTCCATTAATGTAAAGTTAAATATGCAGAATTCACCCCTGGTATTAGAAACTAAGAGAGTGGCCCTGGCTGGTGTGGCTCAGTGGATTGAGTACACGCCTGCAAACCAAAGATTCACCTGCCCGTTTGATTCCTAGTCAGGACACATGCCTGGATTGTGGGCCAGTTCCCCAGTAGAGGGTGCTCGAGAGGTGACCACACAATGATGCTTCTCTTCCTCTCTATATCCCTCCCTTCCCCTCTCTAAAAATAAATATACTTTTTTTTTAAAGAAAGAAACTAAGAGAGTGGTTCTCTTGTGGGAGGGAATAGAAACTAGAAGGGAGCACAAGAGGGCGCTCTGGGACACTGGCACTGTTAAGTTTTTTGATCTCTGAGCTTAATAGTACATGAATATATTCAATTTGAGAAAATTTGTTGAGGTTGTGATTTGTGCCCTTTCCTGTATATTATACTTTAATTAAATTTAAGAACATAGTAGGGTAACTGTTAAAATACAGGCATAGCACACATACCTTCCAAACCAAAAAATAACAAAACTGAATGAAGAGAAATTTAGGTGAATCAAGAAAAAGGAAGACGAGGGGAAAAAAATAGAGCAAATAAAAGGCACATAATAAGATAGTAGGTATAAATTTTAAAATACCAATAACACTCTGAATTTAATACACAAAACTCTCTTGTTAGAAGGTATATGCATTAAAATCATTCAATATTAAAAACAATATTTGAGTACCTTTTATGTGCCAGCCCTGTTCTAGGTGCTGTGGGTATCACAGCACACAAGATAGACAAAAATTCCTGTCTTCATGGAGCTTACAGTATGATCAGAGGAGACAGATAATAAGCAATAAAATTGCCACTGTATGGAATGGTAGTAATGTGATGTGGAACAAAATAAAGGAAGGAGAATTAGGGAGGCTGGTGGAGGCATTAGAAGTTGCAGTTTTAAAGTGCTCATTGATGGCCTCAAAGACCTTAAACATAAGGAAGTACAACCATATGTGGGAGTGAGACATATGTGCATCTAGGGTAAGAATGTTCTGGAGAGAGGGGAAAAGAATTGGAGTATCCTGAGGCAGGAACCTACCAGCTGTGTTGGAGGAATAGCAAGGCGGCCAGTGGGAGGAGGGCAGAGTGACTGAAGGACAGTACGAATGGAGAGGAGGTCAGGGATGGTGAGGGGCAGATGGTGCACGGGCATTTTTAGACCATTGCAAGGGCTTTGGCATTTACTTTAAATGAGATTTGAAAAACCAATGAAATGTTTTGAGCACAAGAATGGAATGATCTTACTTGTATTTTAAAAAATCATCCTGGCTGCTGTCTTGAAAATAGAATGTGAGATAAATGAGGGGACCTGTTAGGCATTTGCTGCAATAATTTAGCTGACAGACCACAGCTTGGAGGAGGTGCCGCAGTAGGGCTGGTGAGGTGTGTTTGGATTCAGGAAGTAATGTGAGAGTGGAGCTGTGGATTGGAGGTAGGATGTGAGAGAGAATGCAATCGAAAGGAGAGAGTTGCCACTTTTTATTGAGTTGAGCAGATTTCAGGCAGAGCAAACTTGCAGAGAGAATTGCACATTTGCTTTGGAACACAATATGTTTAGACAAGCAAATGTAAATGGTGTGAGGGCTGACAGAGTATCTAGACTTCATCGGAGATGTCCAAGTGAGAGCTGTCAGTTTGGGAGTTGTCTGCACTTGTAAAATGAAATAATAAACTTTTACATTTGTATTTGCCAGAAGGAAGGATTAAAGAAAAAAAGAAAAAAAAAATTGTCCCAAACTAAGAATTCAGCAACTTTGTGTTTGGCATCTTTGTTTTGTGTTGGAAAAGTTTACTGATGTCTTCTTAAGAAGCAGGGCCTCTGGCCTCTGGGAGCTGACCTTCACTGACAGCCTGGGGCCTAGATGCTGACTGACTTCATGTTAGAGGGAAGAACCTTGTTCCTCGGTTCATTTAATTAATAGTCACAGCTCAATTTGCTTATTGTTTACTTTGCAGATATATTAATACTTATTTCTGATTAATAGTTCATGTCTGAAAATGGTTCTGAACTACCCATAATCTAACCATTAATTATGCCAACAGAGAAAAGGTGACAGTTTTATGGTAATGACAAAATTACAGCTCTGTGACATAAACTGGTCCCTGACTTTCACAGCCTAGCTACTTGTGCAGACAACCCCCCAAATTTTTCCGCCTGGTAAACCATCTCCTGGCTGATTCCAGCATTAAATGAATATTAAATGTTGACATGTATTCAATCACCTTGTCCAATCAATTTTTCTTTAAGAAAAAAAAATGCACAGAACTGGGTAAGGTCATCTAGGTAGAAAAAGAAGCACAAGGGATTCACCCTGGAGGACTCCAGTGTTTGAGGTCAGGGTTAGAGGAAGAACCATCCAAGAAGAGGGAGGAGTTGCTGGCTTATTGGGTCACTAGCCCCGTTCACAAAAATGCATTAATCCTTGCCACAATCATGTAAGAGCAGGTGTTATACATCATTATCCCAGCTTCTGAGAGTCATAACTGAGCCTCTGCAAGGGGAAGTGGTTTGTCAAAGGATCATGGAAACCAAGGTTATAAACCAGTTTTAGCTCATGTAACCTGCCTTTTCCTTTTCTTGCCTCCTTTGCCATGGTGTGTGTGAATGCGTTCATGATAGTGTTTTATCTTCAGAGGGTGTCTCTGCTTTCCTTGCAGGTGGGTACGTGGAGGCCTTGGAGGTGACTATAGAAACACCAGGCCAAAGGCCCTTTAAGCCCAGTTCCACCTCAGAAGAGACCTATGATGATGTTGAGTACCCTGGGAGAAAGGGGTAAGTTCATTCCAGCCCCTCAGCTGTGGGGTGAGACTTTAAAGGCACAGTGGGACCAACTAATGGTCTTTGTTTCTTTTCTCCCCACAGATCAAAGTCAGATTTCTCGAACTCATTTGTCTCCGATAGTGGTAAGTACAGAAAGACGTTTCTGAAACTGCCAGTAGGAACTGCAGCTGTGGCTGATTAATGAAAAACTGTCTTTTGTTTGTACATATTTTTAATATTACCAATGGGGTGGGGTGACGGGGAGCCCAGGGAAGTGCTCTGAGGCCTGTGTTAGTAAATGCATTTAGACTGGTGAAGGTGACGATGTTGGTAATGGGGCTCTGGGGGCAAAAAAGAAGCTTCTCCATGAAATTGCTTCCTTCCTGATCTGTTCACAGTGGACATCTGATTACAGGAATGCTTTGACTTAAAACACTTACAGGGCTTCCCAATACTTTACAACCCACGTCACATGGTCTACAGGCCTTGGGAGGTTTGCCTCTGTCTGCCTCTGCCGCCTGTCCCCTCAGCTGTGCTCAGTCTTCACCTTGGAGATCCATCATGCTGACTTTCCAGCGCCTCTGACTTGCCTGGCACCCGCCAAGCTCCCGCTGCAGGGTGTGTGCCATTGCTGCTCCCTCTTTCTGGCATGTTCTTTCCTTCCCTGTACCCCTTTGCCTAAGTGACTCTTAACCTTTCTTCTGAGGTCAGCTCAATCATTATTCCAGAGAATATTCTCTTTGATGTACAACCTTAGGGTAACATGGCTCTCTTTTTCATAGCACTTCTCAGAGTTACAGTTTTATATTTATGTGATTCTTTGAATAGTGACTGTCTTCCCTCTTAGATGGTTACCTCCTTTATGCTTACCATTTTCCTTAGCCCCTAGTATAATGACAGGTACATGCAATACATTGTTAAAATATTTGTTGAATGAATGAATGAAAAAATAATGGAGGAGGGATAATTAAATGCTACTTCAGTTGTATTTGTCCTTCTTAAAAATGTCAGAATTTTAGAGGGAGAAACCATCTTAGAGATCATTAAACACAGTACCCTCATTTTAAAATGGAAAATGAGGCACAGAAAAGTTATGTGACTCTTTTAAATTCAAGGTATATAAGTCAGGTTGTGAACATGAAAATCCTCTGTGGTCTGGGGGGACTCAAAGTATATCTGTGTTTTTTAAGCCCATGTGTTGGGCTAGGCTAAACCTATGCTCTGAAGGGAAAGATCATTCAAGATACATTTGTTCTCCGTTATTTCTGTAGAATTCAACAAAATGTTTGATGTTTAATGGACTCTGATCTATACATATTAAACATGCAAAAGGAGAGAGTAGAAGGAAGTAATCTGCGGATAAACCAACTTTCATTGGCTACATCAATCACACTGTGACTCAGGAGTAGAAGCAAATATTAATTTTCATTTGCACATACTATTCTAGAGGTTTAATTACTTTTACCATATGCTTATAAAAATATGAACATTTCAATAAAAACTATTTAACAAAAAAAAGAAAGGTCAGAGTACTCTAGCCCCTAGTAGGTATCCAATAATTTTTGTTAAATATGAATCAGAACTAATGTCAATTAATGGGTGATTTTTTTTTAATTTCAGAAGAAAATAGTAAAGAAATGTATGAAGATGTATACAAAACAAAGAGCAACTCCACCAAGATAGAGTGAGTTTCTCTCTTTCTTGGCTTCCTGGCTAATGATATTTCCTGTTAGTCCATCCAGGAAAATCACTTTGAGAAGTGACTCCCTTCCCTGCCCCACCTTCTTTAGGGAGGACTTGCCTAGAGAGTGCAGGTAAGCTATGGTAATACTACATTGTGGTACATAGAATACTAGTAATTATGTACAGTCACATGGCATAAACTTCAAATCACATTGCTTTCTCTTCTGAGAAAATGACCATCTCCCAGAATAGAGGACTTTAATATTGCATTAAAAGATAAGTGAGAAAGAAGTAATTGCCAATAAAACTTGCCTCAGTTCTATAGTACTTTTCCAGGAAGAAATCAATGGTTGTCAAGAATAATATTTATTCAAGTGGGCATTATTTGTCAAGTTTAGTTATTAGGGGCATGTTATGGAAAAGAAAAAAGCAATGGTCAAAAGCAAGAAGTATAAGGGTTGAGAGGAAAAAGGGGATCAATGCTGGGTGGGATGGTGTGGATGTTTCATTCCCCCTCCCTACCCACCCCCTGAAACCCAAGAGCATATTTGGAAAGACCTTATTCATCAGCTGGGCAGTCAGTGTACCACCACTGTTGTATTATATCATTCAGAAAATTAAAAATCAGTAACGTGAATTTTAGGAGCCAGGAAGTCCTATAATTTATTTCTAGTATCATTTGTAAACTCTGCTCCCATGAGTCATCTTCTCTGAAAGGAAGACTTTCCTCCATAAATTGCAAAATAGAGACCATTTATCATAAATGAAAGTTTGCACTGATGTATAATAGCTCCCTTTGTGGCTGACTGGTTTGTGCTACTTCATATTGGCACCAAAACAAAGAAGAACAGAGACGTGTTGGTAAGGCATTTTCCTGCTGGTCCTCGAGTGGGTGTTTTAGAAATGACACCAAAGCCCCTGATCCTTTTGACTATGCCAGCCTGCCATTTCTAGTGCTCTCTCAAACGCTGTGTTTATATCCTGATTCCTCTTAGTTTAGATGGAAAGGCACTTAAGAGACTGCAGAGATTCTTCAAGAAAGAAAAGGATAGATTTAAAATGAAGACAACCAAGTTGAAAGAAAATGTAAGGTAAAAAGTCCCTTTTTATTTGTCTTTCCAGGAGAGAATTTGTAGTGCTGGCCTGGTAGTTACACAGTTTGATGGTCTCCATCCTGTTCTCAGACACAGTGGGGGCAGGTATCAGAGAGGAAAGCCAAAGGCCCTGGTTATCACCTCCCCCCTACTTGCCAATCTTTGAGTGAACCACACCACAGATGCTAGTAAAAAAATAACAAAGTCTGTTTTGAGAAGACTGATAAGAAAAGGGTAGAGGGAAAGTATTCAGCAAAGTCCAGAAAGGAAATTGACCTTATTATCCTTGGCATATATTCCTATTTTCACTAAGCATTATGTTATTAATTATATCTTTTTATGCTTTCTTATTCCAACAAACTCCAGTGATTTTTATTTGTCTACATTCTAATTTGCCTCTCTTGAGAAATGCAATGTGTGGAGAGGGAAGATGAACTTTTCAGCTGAATGGTCCATGTATCTCAAGGTCTTAGACCTGGAAAGTACCCTCTGTGATCACCCCGGCTAATTACCAATGTTTGGGAGGTTACATTTTCACTGGTAATAGCAAGAGATGGAGGCCTCAAGTCTGGCTTCTGGTTCCAGCTCTTCCATTTATTCAGTACGTAACTGTGGGCAATCTGCTTCTGTTTTGCATCCATACCACCTGTTTCCTGTTGCAAACAGTGAAAGGGAGCCTGGTAGTCTCTGGAGGCACTTCTCTGTCTAATCCAGAGATATAGGTATATAGATACACATACAGATCTGTAGTCTGTGAGAACAGGAGATGGTAAAATAATTTATCCAAGGTCATTACATATACTGACATGGAATTATGTTATTCTACTTTGAAGTTCTTTTCCATTATAAGACTTCAAATTATGTAGCTTTAAGTCTAATTGTATGATGGGTATAGATCAACCAACAGATTCAACAGACTATAGGGTTTATAAATTGTAGTTCTGGCCATGGAAGAAGAGAGCATTTAGCTCCAGTGGTCAGTGAGACCTAACGGCAGCCCCTGCCGGGCCTGTAAGGTTAGGTGCTTCTGATAAAAATTGTTAACGAGACACCTGCAGTCCCTTATAAGTTGGATACAGGTGAGAATGCTCTCTCTGACTTCTACTGCATCCTGCACATCACAGTGCTGGCAGCATCCGGTGGGTTTATAGACACTCTGGCAGGGAGCATTGTGCATCCACTGTGTCCCAGGCACGTTCCCTTAGGTACACTCATCCGAGATGAAAGTAGCTGTCTCAGATGGGTGACAGAATGCATTTGAGAAATGAAGAAACTGAGGCATACATAAAGGTTAGCTGATTTTCCCAGAAGTGCTGTTTTTTGGACATTCCTTTATTATGCTACCCCAGCCCCCAAGTGCTATATCAATTTACTTTGGTCTCCCTCACTAAATCCCAGGACAGAAACTGTGTCTAACTGTGTTGCATAGCTAGCACATGGCCTGGCCCATGGTGAGTGTCCCCAAAATACCTGTAGGGCTGAACTGAATTGCTTTAAAATACATGGACATTTTTTTCTATTATATCATATTTCCTTTCATGTGATCTTAATGATGAGATTTAAGGAGAACCAAACAGTGCCCTCTCCTCTTAGCAATTTACTATCTTCCAGTTGTACCTGGCCTGGAATTCTCCCCTCACCCCCTTGGCTTCTGCATAAAGATAGGCAGGGCCCAGTGTCCCCAGAGAGTTGTTCACTCTCACCGTACTGGTCCCACATTGTGTGTCTGATTGACATCTTGGGAAGTTAGAGTGTGGAAATAGAATCCTATGGATGGAGAAGGGCAGGGCTGTGGGGTAGCCTGAGGTTGTCTGGTTAGGAAAGGGGGCATAAGTGGTCACTTGGGAGGAATAAGCTCATTTAAAGGGAGGTGGGGGTGGGCAAAACAAGATGCAGGAAAGGTGTGCCCACTTCACCTCTTTGACTGGGAGCAGCTGTATCAAGAAACCTAGTCATCAACCTGTTATTCCAAACATGGCTTTCTTTCCTAACCCTTTTGTGTCTCTTGTCAATCAACAGTGCATTTTCCATTTCGCTGCCCAATTTAGGTAAGTGACATCTGCTTACTGCTGGCACAAACTACTCAGTATTGGCATGTTCAGGGGCAGGGAAAGAGGAGCCATGTCCTTCCAGCATTCCACACATAATGAACAATCGATACATCCCAATCAAAGAACACATTTTGCACAAGAGTAGTACTGACTTTGGGGAAGATGAGTAACATTTCTTCTTTTAATTTTGAAGTTGTATTTATTTATTTATTTTTAATTGTTGTTCAAGTACTGAGAAACATTTCTTAAGTGTCTATAATATACCAGGCCTCTTAAACTCCCCCCAAAAATGACGGTACCATCTCTTTCAGGGAGGCTCCAAGATCCACATCCCATCTTCAGTGATCTGGGACTGGTACTCAAGTCTCTCTGATTATGAAGCTCATGCATTTGAACTATACCACACAGCCTCTTGAAAGATGTGACAGCCATATCGCCCTAATTAAGATGTGATAAGTTGAGCATGATTATAGTGCAGTATACACACTAAATGAATCCAGGATAGGTCATTGCAGTGTCGTTTGCTTTGCTATAGAAACAATAGTGCACAAGTCAGCACCAGAGCCTGACACACACACAGTACACTCTCCACACATGTCCAGGAAACTGAAGCTGTCAGTGAAAGAGGGCCATGTCTGTTGTTTGTTGGTTTTTGTGGGCTCTAGCTGTGGTAGCTACTTTAATTTCATTCTAACTTGGCAATTCAAATACAGATTATATTCCACAAATATGAGTTTGCTGGATGAGATAACAAATGGTTGTATGAGCCTGGTAAAACTACAAGCCTCCCAAAATATCCTGGATCTATGTTTTTCAAATAAAGCCAGCTCAGAATGGGCATGCATTGTACCCCATCAAATTTATGAATAATTGAATGTAAATTATGAATAATTAGGCCAGAAGGTCTCAAGCTAGTTCAGGTGAATCGCTTGGACATTGTGGATTTCTGTGTACAGCACCAAGGAATGCAAATATCCTAAAATGAACACATCTGGCTACAGTTATGTACTAAGTCAGATTCAATTTTATGCAAAATTATTATAAAGTAGAAGTTTCCAATAATCTCAAACAAAAACCATGGGGAAAAAAATCAACATTAATATCCTATTGAACTGTTTTTTCCTCCTTAGGAATTAAGAAAAAACCTCTTATTATTCTAGCAGTATAACATCTCTATCCAGGTCTAGGATGATGGAAACCTAGTTAAACTGATCCTTTCGGCAGCTCATGTTTCTGGAAATCAAATTGCTATAAACATGTGTGTACGTGTGTGTGTGCTTGAGATATCAGGACGTTCTTCAGTTGAATTTCTTCCCAAATAAGAACATTTCCTTCTTTGATCCTTTCAGTCCATCTGTATTCTACGATCAGATTTTGATGAAATAGGATTTGGGATACACCTGGACAGTTAGGTAGTTGTGTGTACTTTGAGAAACCAGGGATTATATAAACCACCTAATAACGGGCTATTTTGATCTCATCTTGACTCTAGAACGTAGGTCTCAGGAAGTTATCATTCATCATGATGTGAACATAAGTGAAAAAGAGTCAAAGTAAGTCAATTTACCTTTTTTTTACCTCTGTTATTTCACTCATTTCCTGGTGTTTTATTAAATATGGTCAGAGGGCCATGTCTGATGCTTGGAGACTGGACAGAAAGTTGACTTGTTATATCCCCCCACCAAGAGGGGAAAACAATAAAAAACGTAGATGATCTAACAGTGGTGGGTGATTCAAAAGTCACTGGAGCTCTATAATCTGTTTCTTATCTTTGAATCTAGAGACTTGAAACTTATTTCAATACAACAAACACTGATTTAATACTCTCCTGTGGACAAGGCAGCATGGAAGACAGCAAGCAACTACCTGACAACACCTCTGTTCTCAAAGACTAAAGAGCTATAGTCTACCAAGTAGAAAAATATCCCAAAACTTGATTGCCCCTCTGTAGCTACTTCTCTGTCCTTTCCCTCTCCACTAAATGGCTGAAAATAAAGGTCAGCTCATCTTCCCAAGCTCCCTATCTTTGAGCTTCTGTTCCTATCATACCAGTGAACTCATTTTTCATAAGGTCACTAATAACTTCTCTGTTAAATCCAGTATGTGCTTTTAAGTGCTTAATATTCTTGGCTTCACTATAAAGCTTAAACTATTGACGATGCCGACCATTAAAAAAAATACTGACTTTTCCCCAGGTTTCCATATTATCATTGTTGCTTATTTCTCATCTCTGGCTGTCACTCCTCCTGTTTGTTTTTTGTTTTGTGTGTGTATTGTGTGGGTTCTAATTCTACCATGCAACTCTTTCAAAATCATGCTTCTCAGATTTCCTATCTGAGTTCTCTTCTATTCTTCATGTGTTCTTAAATGCTCTCTTCCACATCTAAGGCTTTAATAATCATCACTATGGCAATGATATAAAAATTTACATTTTGAGGTTGGATGTCTCTTCTCCACTCTAATAAGCCTGCGACTAGCTCTCTTAAACTTGGAATTCTGTAATAACTCGTAACCTCAACCCTTGTCATCCAAATATGGCCTCTTTCTTCTAATCTCTGTTGGTGACTGTTTCAATGAGCACAACTGTTGCCCAAACCAAAACCCTAGGCATTGTCCATGGTGCCTCCTCTCCTGCACTGCACCCTCTTCTGTTCCAGTAACTCTCAGAACACTCCCACTTTTCCATCCATCCTGCACAGGCACCATGCAGGCCCTCCTTGTTTCTCAGCTGGATTATTGCAGCAACCTTCTGAATGCATCTCACCACCACTTCAGTTTATTCCTCAGACTTTCTCAAGTGCAAATGTAATCATCTCACAAAACCAATCATCCCCAGCTTAAAAATATTTAGTGGTTGTCAGTATCTCTTAGAATGAAATCCAAACTGTTTAGCAAGACATAAAATTCATTAGCAATCCAGCCCCTGACAAAGTCATGGCCTCACCTGTACTTCCCACTCACGCACCACTCCAGTGTTTCATCCATACTGTACTACTAGGAGTTCCTTGAACTCAACAAGCTATCCAGCATTTCTAAAGCTTCACATTTGTGCCAACGTCATCGATTCATTCCACAAATATTTAATGAGCATGCACTATGTTCCAGGCACTGTGCTAGGTGTTGGATATACAGCAGTGAAAACAGTATGTTATATTTCTGATTGGAGACACATAAATTAATAAAAAATAAATCTATAATTTCACATTGGAATTTGGTTGTTCAGATATGTTGAAAGAGAGTGAGCATAAGGTGTTTGTGTTGGGAGAGGACCGACAGTCATTTCAGAGTAGACTGTTGAGGAGGCCTCTACCAGGAGGTGAGAATTTAAGGAAAAAAGACTAGTTCTACCTGTAACACTTTGCCATGGTTTTTGCCCAGTTAGCTATTTTATCCCTCATTATTTACAACGGAATTCAGATTTTGCTTTCCCCAGGCAGCCCTCTCTCACCTTATATATTTGGGTTAGATACCCTTTTCTTATCAGAACATTTTTCTCATAGTCATAGTGGTCTTACTTCTTTCTTTTCTCCCCCTTTAAATGGAAACTCCCTGAAGTAGGGACTGTGGCTTTCCATCTGTATCATGTGACCTTATACCAAAACATAGTTTGTTAATTCAGTTAATGAGGGACCTAAAAAAAATGAGCAAAATAATCTGGGAGTTCAGACGAGGTAGCCATTTCCATTGCTCAGGGGCTGAGGAAAGTTTCTGTGCCAAGCTGAAGCAGGAAGGTTAGGTCACATTTTGACAAATGGGGGACATCTGTGTGAACAGAAAACAGGTGTTTGGGAAATTTGTTGCTTCTGATAAACAGAAATTCTTAATTTTAATGTATTTGAATTTATCGATTTACCCTTTATGATTGTTGCTTTATCTTTTAAAGAACTCTTTATCCCAAGATAACATGATGTTCTCCCATATTTTCTTCTAAAACTGTTAGTTTTGTCTTTTACACTTAAACCTTAGATCTATCTGGAATGACTTTTCCTATGTATAGGAAAGTGGAGACCTAATTAAATTTTCTTCCATGTAAATAAATGCCCTAGCATGATTGAGTGGCCCCTATTTCCCCCACTGATCTGCAGGACCACCTGTGTCGTACCAACTTCCAGAATCTGAAGATTTCCATGCTGTCTGTTCTATTCCAGTGTCATTTTTAGCTTATGTGCATTGTGGTCTGAGAAAACAGTTTTTATTAGTACCTTGATGATACTATTAACAAAAATACTTATATAGCCCTTTCTGTGTGTCAGTCACTGTTTTGTGTATTTAATATGTATTAACTCATTCAATCTCACAGCAATCCTGTGAGGTAAATACTATTATTATATAGACTGTATAGAAGAGAGACTGAGGCACAGAGGTTAAGTTACATGCCCAAGCTCACACAGCTGGTGGTAGACCAAGGATTCAAACCCAAGTATCAGATGCCCAGTCCTTCTTCTTTCCTGCTATACACTGTGCTCTGTATCCCAGTGATTTTCATTGTCTTACAGGATAATTTTCCTGATATTGTATGCCTACTGATCTCTTAGTTACTATTTCCCTAGTATACATTTTTAATCCTTTAATTTTCTGTTTCCCATGTTTGCATTCTCTCTCTCTCTCTCTCTCTCTCTCTCTCTCTCTCTCTCTCTCTCTCTCTCTCTCTCTCTCTCTCTCATATAAAAAGCACAGACCTGAATTTGGCTTTTTAAAAATCCAGTATGGCAATCTCCTATCTCCTACCTTGTCCTTGACCTAATGTCAATCTTGTGTAATACTGTAGTGCTGATACTAACATCTTCCTCAGTACACACCTGTCTTTTGTGCTTGTAGACTGTTGAGTGTGCTGTCTGGTTTTAGCTGATTTGGTGGGGACTGTTAGGGTACTATGCATAGTGCTTACACTATGTGTAAAGTGTAGCAATTTGTTAAGACAAAAATTAGACAAAAAACTTTTACCCAGGATCTAGTAGTTTTGAATTTGGAGGGCCCTTTTAGAATATTATTCTGCCCTCTGCTGCCAAAGGAGGAAGTACAGAATTCTGAGCAAGGGTACAATGTAATCAGAGCTACACTTCCAGAAGAGTAATCCAACCCTTTCACAGATTGGAGAAAGCTGGAAGTCTAATATATGTTAGAATATCATTGCAATCACTCAGGTGAAAGATGATCAAAATGTGTTCTAAGCTGGTAAAAGAAATGAAGGCAAAGTTATTCCAGAGAACTTAAGTGGTTGTTATTAAATTGTGAATTCCTCTGGTAGAAACCATATCTTCTTTACTCCCATTATCCAGCTCCTAATATAGCACTTAAGATGTGGTAGGCACATGAGGAAAGTTTCAAGAACAAATGATGTTTATCAAATCACTTAGCCTGTCAAAGTCTGGCTGATTTTCATGTGATAGAGTAAATCTTCTGTTTGACTTCAAAGACACCAATTATTAATGACATTTGTAGCACATAGAACATTGATGGGAAGTAACAGTTTGGAAGGAGAAGAGAGAGGGAAGTTAGTATTTGAGTTCCTATAAACCTGGCTAGTTTGCATGTCATGTCTTGGTGGGTATTAGATTGAAGACTAGCCCAACCTGCTCTGGACTGAACTGTTGCTAGATAATGCAGACCTCTGCTTTATGTTTCATTTCCTTCTGTTCACTGGACTATCTCCTAGCGAGTCAGCAAGAGAAGGAAGAGGGGGATCTTGAAAAGGACACTGGAACAGCTTCTACAACCTGGTACCAATGAGACCTATGGCATGTCACCTCACTTCTCTGAACCTTAGTTTCTGAACCTGCATGATGGCAATAACAATCCTTAGCCTGCCAAATTCATTACATCCTCTAACTAGATCCCTAAAAAGGCAAAACTAAGTTGACAAAGAGGCAAAGACTTGACCATAATATTCACATGGTCAGCATGGGTATGAATTGATAGGATATGATCTTTCTGAAAGAATAATTTGACAATGTGTATCTAAAATGTCCAGACCCTTAACATAGTAACTTTACTTCAAACAACCAACCCTAGTAAAAAAAAATAAATAAAGGAAACATGAAAAAATTGTGTGCAGAAATATCTGCCTCAAGGTTATTTATAAAAATGAAATATTTAAAACTACCCAAATTTCCAATAATTTGATAAGCATATTATGGTATACTACTCAACATAAACATTAAAATATATGCTAAATATGTCCTAAATAGTTTTCAGTAACATAGAGAAATACTTACAGAAATAGCAGAATGAAAAATTTTAAGTATAGTATGATCTCAATTCCATTTTAAAAGGGCTTGGGAATATTTAGAAGGAGACTCAGATGTCCTGGAGAGCTCAGATTATGCTTATTTTGTTTTCTACTTCTGCTTCCAGTTTTTAAATACTCAGAATGCATTGCTTTAAAATTGGTAAAGAAAATAAGCTTTTAAGTAAGCATCCACCTTGCCCATTCCTGCCCTCACAGCTGCACTCCTTCCAAACAAGTCCAGACACAGGTTCACACGGCACACTTGCTGTGTGCCCAGCACTGAGCAGAGCCCATTGGACACATGGTTGGCTCCCAGTGTTGGACACACAGTATATGGTTGGCTCCCATCTTCTGGGAACCTACAGTGCAGAGAGGAAAGGAGTGGCCAGTGGACAATTAGAAAACCAGCCACTGCTGAGCTCCATGTTATAGGCTCCCAAGGCAACAGATGCAGAAAAAGACAGGGACTGGAGGTCCCTCACCAAGCCCTGGAAGGCTTCTTAAAAGACTTCTCTAAGCTGTGTCTTCCATGCTGGTCCAACACTGCGCCCTTGATGTACTGTTCAACAGTTGTGGTCATAATCTGAAGGGAATGATGACACATGATCTCTGAAAATCTCAAAAATTCCTGTGACATAATATCCTGTCATTACAATTTACCTGATGAAGAGTTCAGATATGCAGACACCAGGGACAAACTGATGCTCGATGGAGTAGGGTCCTGTTTTGCTCGTATCAATGATGGACCAAAAAACAAAAAACCTTTTTTTTTTACTTTGTTTCCAAGGTTTATTTAAATGAAACTTGTAATACTTAAAAATATTATCACCTAATTCATCTACAAATTCTATGCAATCTCTACCAAAATCTGAATTAACTTTTTAGAATTTTGTTTTATTTTTATTTTTAATATATTTTATTGATTGTGCTATTACAGTTGTCTCATTTTCCCCCTTCACTCCCCTCCATCCTGTTCACCCATTCCCACCCACATTCCCCCCCTTTAGTTCATGTGCATGTGTCATAAGTTCTTTAGCTTCTACATTTCCCATACTATTCTTACCCTCCCCCTATCTATTTTCTACCTACCATCTATGCTACTTATTCTCTGTACCTTTTCCCCCCTCTCCTCCTCCCACTCCCCTGTTGCTAACCCTCCATGTGATCTCCATTTCTGTGGTTCTTTTCCTGTTCTAGCTGTTTGCTTAGTTTGTTTTTGTTTTTCTTTTAGGTGTGGTCATTAATGATTGTGAGTTTGCTGTCATTTCACTATACATGTTTTTTATCTTCTTTTTCTTAGATAAGTCCCTTTAACATTTCATAAAATAAAGGCTTGGTGATGATGAACTCCTTTAACTTGACCTTATCTGAGAAGCACTTTATCTGCCCTTCCATTCTAAATGAAAGCTTTGCTGGATAGAGCAAATCTGGGATGGAGGTCCTTGTCTTTCATGACTTGAAATACTTCTTTCCAACTCCTTCTTGCCTGAAAGGTCTCCCTTGAGAAATCAGCTGACAATCTGATGGGAGCTCCTTTGTAGGTAACTGTCCCCTTATCTCTAGCTGCTTGTAGGATTCTCTCCTTCATTTTTACCTTGGCTAATGTAATGATGATGTGCCTTGGTATGGTCCTCCTTGGGTCCAACCTCTTTGGGACTCTCTGAGCTTCCTGGACTTGCTGGAAGTCTATTTCTGTTGCCGGAATGAGGAAGTTGTCCTTTATTATTTGTCCAAATAACTTTTCCACTTCTTGTTCTTCCTCTTCCCCTTCTGGTACCCCTATAATTTGGATGTGGGAACATTTAAAGATGTCCTGGAGGTTCCTAAGCTTCTCCCCATTTTTTGAATTCTTATTTCTCCATCCTTTTCTGTTTGGTTGTTTCTTTCTTCCTTCTGGTCCACTCTATTGTTTTGAGTCCCAGTTTCCTTCCCATCATTATTGGTTCCCTATGCATTTTCCTTCATTTCTCTTATCATAGCCTTCATTTTTTCATCTAATTTGTGACCAAATTCAACCAATTCTGTGAGCATCCTGATCACCAGTGCTTTGAACTGTGCATCTGATACGTTGGCTATCTCTTGGTCGCTTATAAATATTGGCTCTGGAGCTTTGATTTGTACTTTGGTTAGAGCCATTGGGGGGTGGAGGGGTCTGGTCGTGCCTGTTACATATGAGGGGTGGAGCCTTAGGTGTTCACAAGGGCAGGGCAACCCAGTCGCTAGGTTGCAACGTTGTATGTGAAGGCAAGGTCTGAGAGGAAACAATGGCTCTTGCTCCTCTCTCCATCGGATTTCAGTCCCTTCCACCACCTCCCCCAGTTCTGGGTCTTTCTGGTGCTAATTCCCATGTGGGTGGACTTGTGTACCTTGTAGGACCCTGTGGATCTCTCTAACCAACTCTCTTGTGAGGCTGGGAGTATCTCCCTGAGTCTCAACCCCCACAGGTGTTTTCAATCAGTGTCCCAAGGTTCTATTTCCCAGCGCTGGGGCCCTGGGTTGCCCGGTCAGCCTCACTCCCCAATTTTGCCTGCTTTATCTGCACATGAATGTGGCCCAGACATCCAGGCACCTTGCATGCAGTGCCTCACTTCACAGTCACCGCCTCGCTGGGTCTGCCAGCCGCCTGTACGCTCAGAATGTCTTACACATTGATTTTTGTGCCACAACCCCTCTCCACCCGGCTGTCCGACTCCGCCCCTCCTACCGGTCTGGATGAATGTGTATATTTTAATTCTTTGGTTGTCCAACTTCCATATAGTTCAATTTTGTGTCAGATCTGGCTGTTATCTTATTTCTAAATTGTTGCTGACCTTATTTTGGTTGCGTGAGGAGGCACAGTGTGTCTACCTATGCCTCCATCTTGGCCGGAAGTCCCCAAAAAAACTTTTGAAGCAGCAAGTATGGTAAAAGACCACAAACTTCAGAGTCAAAGGCACCTAGAGGTTCAAAGCCACTGTTTCTGTGACCATGATAGTTCTCTGATTATCTATTTCCTTCTTTGTAAAGCTTTATGAATGACTACTTTAAAGGATACTATGAAAAATCTGTTAACATATGTGAAAGCATACAACTTGCCACGTAGAGGCTCAAAAAGTATTAGTTCTTTCTATAATACCCTCACCCCTCCCTGAATCCTTTCCTACTAATGCCAAACACTAGTTGGATTAGTTTTTCTCATGGTAGAGGTTAATATTATTATTCAGGTTCTAGAGGCAAAGAAACTGAGGCTCAGAAAGGAGAGAAAGTGTGATGATAAGCAGGTTGATCTCTTTCCTCTGGTTTCAAATTTGGATCACTACAGATCCGGGTCAGCAATCTATGGTCTGTGGGCTAACCATAGCCCCCACTTGTCTTTGTAGTAAATACAGTCACAAGAGCAGAGTTAAGTGGTTATCATAGGGATGTTATGCCTTCCGGAGCCTAAAGTATTTACTCCCTGGCCTTGTCATAGATTATCAAAATATACTTCTAGATGACTCTTAATTTTCTTTGTAAAACATAATTGTAAAGTACTGACTGTTTTGCAGGAAGTACTGATGGTTTTCACAATTGGTTTAGTTTAATCTTAATTTACTGGATCAAAAATATTTTTCCCCTCAGAGATGAAGATAAAGTAAAAATTTGGAAGCCCAAGCTTTTTAAACCAAAGGGGAAAAAGAGTGCTGAAGAATCAGACCGGTGAGTACACAGGGGTCCCTACATTACCACTTCCCAGCTGCAGTTCATACCGCTCACCAGCTGCATAAACTCAGGCAAGTCAGTAAGTTTCTGGGTTCAGTGATTTCTGGGTTCTTCATCTACAAAATGAGAACACTCGCATCTAAACTATAGTACAGCTGAGAGGACTAGAAGAGACACAGAATATGAAAATACAAAGGACCACACACATTTATCTTCATCACCATCATCCCTGCTTTTGGTGAATAGGGAGCAAAGAAAGATTTCAAGCCAGTCCTGTCAGGCAATGAAACATTTTCAGCCTTCTTTCAGGCTGAAGCGACTTTCCCTCTATAAGACAAACCTTAAATAACACACCAATTTGAACTTAAATAAACTAGGTGTTATACAGTAAGACTGCTTTCCCTAAAATACAAAATAATTCTATTTATGTCTACATTAGTGCTAGAATTTCAAAACAATGTTTCATCAATTCAAAATCTACCCTTCATTCATGTGGTCCAAGCTCCCAGGTGGCTGTTGGGGAGGTGATTTTTTTTTTACTGTCTCAGATGTTCTCTTGGTGCTCAGTGCTCCAATCTTCCCCCCAGTTGCTAGGAGATGGGGGCAGATCTGAGGTTTACCCAGTGTCTTCAGGAAACCCTTGTCTAAGTAAGTCATGAAAATGGGAACACTGTGTGGTCTCTGCTTTGGGAAACTTCTCTAGAAAAGTCCTACAGGGACAACCTCAAAGAAATAAGGCATTAGTTTATACCAAATTTAAATGCAGAGGATAGCATACAATGACCCTTCCTTTAAGTTTATTTCTTTGTGTTTAGACTTGACTTAATTTATTTTTTCCAAGTTGGAAAGATGTATTCACAGACCAGAAAGCACTTCCCACCTTAAACTTCATATCTTTGCATAACATAGCAAAACAGAATTCCAAGAGAGGAAATAATAGAAACTTTTACTGTCTACCCTCCATCTCCCCCCCAAAAAGGCTTTTTAGTACTTTAATGTCTACACATGTCTTTTTAGGAAAAATTTTTCTAGTGCTTTTTTTATTCTTACAACAAACTGATACTTTACTTTTATTCTCAACTGGATAAATTTGAAAATGTGTTAAATTTAAAAATGCAGTAGATTGAAGCTATCATTACACCTAGAGTAATATCTCAATTTTCATGTGATCTTGATTCCTTTCTGAATGGTTTCTACCATAACATATTCTACCAATAAGAAATGCTTTTGATATTAGTACAATCTTGTCATTATCCCTTTATTAATCAAAGATGGTATATTTTCAGAGAAGCTGGGGATGGGTATGACAGGTATAAAGTCATAAGTATGACAGCCCACCTTGTAAGGTGTTTCCACCATGGAAATGTATGACTTTATCTGGCAGGCATTAGAGAGAGATTAAAAGGTTTTAAGTGAGAGAGTGACATGGTCAGTTAAATTTTAGAAATATGACTGGTGGCAGGTATGCAGATGGATTCGCAGAAGGAAAGACAAGAGGAAGGTGGTATTTCCAATGCAAAGTGGTCATGGCCTAAAGTCTGGCAGCGACTATAATCTTGGACAGAACAAAGGAGATAAAGGTTATACTTCTGAATAAATTTCTCAAGACCTGCTTGACCTGTTTCCCTCTATCAATACCTAAAACTACTACAGTGGAGCACCAGCCCCCATGTGAAGAGTGGAAGGAAAAGGCAGAAGGAAACCGTAATCAGCCTCTGCTGTATAGTTATGCACTTTTATGCCCTGAATTTTTGCATGGATTTTGTGGCATCCTGCACTTTCTTTCATTTTTTAAAAAGATTTTATTTATTTATTTTTAGAGAGGGGAAGGGAGGGAGACAGGGAAACATCACTGTGTGGTGGCTTCTTGCACGCCTCCTGCTGGGGACCTGGCCCAAAACCCAGGCAGGTGCCCTACACTGGGAATTGAACTGGAGACCTTTTGGTTTGCAGGCTAGCACTCAGTCCACTGAGCCACAACAACTAGGACTATTTTCTTAATTCTATCTTCTTCATAATCATTCAGCAAACTGGAAAGTTCTTCGATGCACAGAGATTTTTGATTCCCCAATTAGGTTTGAAACATTGGAGAACCGTGAGATATAAGCTATTTACTCACTCTTACTGTTTTTTATTAAGTAATCTGAGGGTGAGTGGCACAGTTTATAACTTTCCTTAAGTTTGTTCTTTCTTAAATTAGTTATACTTGTAAATCTGATTCAGAGAAGTTTCTTGTTTAACTTAAATTTTTCAACAAGTTAGATGTTAATCCAAGTTATCTTACTATCCAAAAAAAAAGGTTTTTAATTGTAGGGGGGAAGAACTGGTATTGCTCTGTTTAGTGGTTTTGACAATCTGCTCTGGTGGAAATGTAATAAAATGTATATAAAATTATACACACACACAAATTATACCTAAGTTTATCCTGAAATAGGATGACTAAGATTTGGAAACTTGAGTTTTATTTAACCCAACCTGCATTTTTCTTGCCAGTCTATCACCTAGCAATTTCTTCAGAACCAAGCAGCAAAACTTAGAAAAGGACAGAATGGAAAAAGAAAAACTTTTTAGAGAAAGATTTGAGGTATGTTCTCCTCTGAAGGTAAAAATCAATATTAAAAGCTAGAAACTTCTGTTTCTGGAGATTCTGAAGTGTGTTACAGTTCTGCCCCTCCAGGATTAAGGCATGAATATTTTTGTTGTTTCCTGATGCATTTCTGTATTATCATGCCTTTGTATATGCAATTTCCTCTGCCTGGAAAAATTCCTAAGTTGCTCAGTTTAGATGTCACCTTCTCTTCCCTAACTCCTCTCCTCCAGGAAAAGTTACTCCCTCAGCACAGTTTAAAAAATCTATTCTACACTTACCTGTAAACACACTGAACTGTATTATAACCTGTGTGTGCACACACACATTTGGGACTAAAACTCCTGAGTCCTTTCGGAAGGAAAGACTTTGTCTCATGTAGATTTGCTCCTAGCCCCCAACATAAAACTGGTCACAGTGTTCAGTGAGTGAATGAATCACTGCACAAATGAATGAATGAAGCATCTGAAGCTCCTTGACTTCTTATCCTGTCATTGAGAGTCCATAGAGCATTTTTCCATAATTTCAACTAAATCAAAAGATCCTCCATTATGATTTCACATACTGTCAAAACAAGAATTTGTTGATTTAAGAGACATACTGAACACCTCCCATGTGCCTGTCACTGGAGTAAGAGAGACAGAGTATGCATCCTGCTCAGAAAAATTGTCCAAGTTACTTCTCTGCCTAAATCTTTCCGAAGTCCCCATTTCTAGTGGATCAAGTTCCGGCCTTGTCACATGGTACACGCAGCTCTTCATGTCATGAAGACATACATGTTTGCAGTAGGTAATTTCATACTACTGAACTGTGGCATTAAAATGTCTACTAAAAACTATGGAGTTATTTGACTAGTTGAAAACAATGGTGTAACAAATTTTTGTTGAAAAGACCCTGGCCTTGCACCTAGTGCTTTTCTCCCTGCTGTCATCGGACTGTCTCATGTGTGACAGAAACCCCATCCCTCTCCCTATCCCCTATGGTGGGCTTCCTTGATATTCCACTAGAAAAAAAGTATGCCATTTCAACCACTTTTATTCAGCTCAAATCACAAAATATTGGGCACATTTGTGCCAGGCACTGAAGGTACAAGGATGAATAAAAGTGTCCTCCACTTTCATTTTAAAGACAAAATGTTTATATAATGTTATAACACCAATATATACAAGATGCAATTAAAACAGGAAATTATACATAGCAGTCATGAAAGTCCTCATGCAAGGTGCTGAAAGAAAACAAGGGCTTTCCAGGCAGAGAAAACAGCATGAACAATGGCATGGACACACAGAGGTAGGTGGTGTATTCAGGATCATCCCATAGCCTGATGTGGCTTCAATAAAGGGGACTGAAATGGGTGCCTAGGGAATGACATTTATAAAGGACTTGGAATGTCAAGCTAAGAAATGTGGATCTTATCCTGAAAGCAATGAAGAATTTTTAGAAGTATAAAAAGGAAAGTGACTCAATCTAATTTGCATTCTAAAAATCACTGTGTATTCACATTGAACAATGGCCCCGTAAGGGTGAGAAATCAGTTCGGAAGCGTCTCTCCTGGGTGTCAGATCTCACTTGGTACAGGGTGATCTTACCCATCTCCCAAATTCAGGAGAGTTCTGAGAGTCGGAGGAGGTACCCCTAATCATAAGTAGTATTTGTAAATAAAGATTGTCCTGAGCAGGGGGAGATGTTTGGTCACCCAAATTTGGTGAAGTAGACATCTGTAAATTACCTATATATTCTGGAACTATTTTATTTTTCAGTCAATGGATTGCAATGCATTAGATGGCGATGTACCTGTGGATGTATAGGCCGGCTACTTAAAAACATCAAAAAAGAAAAACACCTCCCCTGAGATCAGATATCAAATCATTCATCAGTTTGGTTCACAAATGCTTGTCCTTGACTACAAAAGGAGAGTGGGAATTGCCCCCACACCCATTCCTGCTACTTTAAATGTGTGTCATAGCTAAATACAAGTTACTATCTTAATTTTATTATAAGGAAAAGACAAAAACCATGCAAGCATAGCTGATTAGTAATTTCTTGTTTCAGTATGACAAAGAGATTACCGTCATCAACACAGCAGTGGCATGTTCCTGGAATTCAAGAAATGGGATATTTGATTTGCCAATAACCCCTGGAGAAGAACTGGAAGTCATTGATGTCACTGAAGAAAATCTAGTGATATGTCGCAATTCTAAAGGCAAATGTAAGTTATTGGCTTATTGACCATAAAATTTCATTGTTTTAAAAAATCTCAAAGCATTATCTCTATAACTTTCAGTGATTTTTGTTTCTATAGATGGATATGTGCTAATTGAACACCTAAATTTCAAGTAAGTGGTTTGATTTTATATTTCAAATCATGAATTCTAAATATTTAACAGTGTTGTATACATCAGTTTAAAGAAAATACAACTGCATTTATTTACGTTCAAAAAAAATTGAAAATTAGATATACAATGCCCCATTCTATGAGCATTACTTTGGAAGAGACCTTATTATTCTGTCTCCTGAGTATGTTATCAAACTTCTCTACAGAGCATATTTACAAACAGACATTTTAAAGGCCCATAAAAATATTAAACTGGATAAGAAATTCCCCAGAAATCTGCTCACTACTCAACTGGATTCTATTTCAAAGTACACTTTTTTTATTTTTTTCTCAGGCATCAAGGTTGGTCGCCTTAGGAAGAGCAACATCAAATGTATGGATGCACAAGTGAGAGCCAGTTCTAAGACACTGGTCCTGCTCACACCAGTTCCAGTCTACGTCTCAAAATGAGATGACGGAAGCTTTCATTAGGACCTTAGGAGAGAAAACAAACCCTCCACGTTTAGTAGGTTTTGCTCCTAAAAGGTTATCTTTCCACGTCTATTTTAAGAATCTATTTCACTGCTGGCTCAGAATGCGAAACTGCATGTGCCAGCATTTGAGCACTTACTCAATGAGCCACATCCACAGTAAGAAATCACGCCTGATGGCACTACCCAGTGAGTTGTACAGATGGTGAGCACACTTCTAATATCAGTGCATGAGTGTTTAGAATTTCTAAAACCTGCTGTCCATTTAAATTGGGTGTAATATAATTCTGGAAAAATAGTGTAACCAAGTTCTTTTAAATACTCAAAGTGTAGTCTTGAAATAATTACAGTTCAGTCTTTAAAAAATCAAGGTTTAAGTGTTCTGTTTTATCACAAACCAAAGTTGGACTCAAAATGCTGCTCAAAATTGGTTTCTTTTGGGAACCATATACTGAAGAATAATTTATTCAAAAATTCACCTATCATTTAAATTATGCTGTATTGGTTTAAAATAGCCTGTTGTCCAAAATAAGTAATACTTTTTATTTATCTATTCAAATAACAGAATTCACATATATTTTTACTTACATGAAAGTAAAGAAAATTAAACTGAGCTGTTAGTAACATTCTGTATTTCAAATGACGTACACTGCCTCTTGAGCAGGGTGATTCTGGCCTTCAGGGTGTGAACTTACTCCATGGTCTTATCCTTTATGCTATGCGATTGCTTCTTAAGATTCTAGTTTCTTTCTTTTTCAAGTTCCAAGTGGCATTTGCGAAAAAAGGCCAACCTCATGCTTGAAGACAGGAACTAAAGGTATTACAGAGTTCAGAGGGGGAAACGGATATGAGTGAAATGCCTAGAAGATTGAGACAGGCTTCACAGAGAAGGTGGCACTGAAGCCTGGTCTAATCACAAGCACATTTGGTAGACATGGCACAGAGATGGCAAGTCCACGCTGTCTGGTGACCAGGAAGAATCTGAACAGAAATGGAGTGTGCTGTGTCTGGGGGGGAAGGGCACGAGCTAGGATGGAGTAGGTTGGAGCTAGAATGTGACAGAGTTCTTATCAAAGGTCTTATTCAGGAAGGTGAAGCCAGATGTCTAGAGAGAAAAGAAAAAACAATCACAGCAATATGGGTGATAACTTAGAGAAGAGAGGCTAGTTGTTTTTGTAATATTCTAGGCAAAAGAGCATTTGACCGTAAGACAGCAGCAATACAAATATATGGGACAGGAGCCCCATTAGTTACAAAGGTAAGGAAACAGATGTCTTGGTGACTGATTAGACGTGAAAGGAAACAATGAGGGAATGGCTCCAAGATTTCTTTTTTGGGAGCTGAGATTAAGGTACCAAAATTGGGAATATATTTATTTCTATTTGGATCCCCCTGAATTAAATGTACCTACTGAGAGGCAGGGCATTCGGGCAACTGCAGCCCCTCCCACATCACGGTCAGACCTGCCCCGTGGCACTATGGCAGAAGAGCAAGGAAGGTATGGCCTGTGGGCAAGGAAGGAGGTGAAGTCATGGAATAATCCTGTAAAAAAGAGAATCATACACCACATGTTACTCTTGCCACCTGGCCAAAACATGAAGGATTTTAAACCCTATAGTCACAATGGGACTAAATTTCCACTAAGATGGGTCTGTCCCACACACTTTCCATCTTATCACATCGCCTCTTGTTCTAACTCCATGACTCAGCTCTGCGTCTCCACTTTCTCCTCAGTGAAACAGGCCTAAGAACACTCACCTCGTCTGCTGCACAGGGCTGTTGTCAGGCTGGAATGCAGTAACATAAATAAACGTGTCCTAAAAGTGTACAAGTGTTGCTGTTTTATTTTTTTTAAGATTTTATTTATTTTTAGAGAGAGAGGAAGGGAAGGAGAGAGGGAAAGGAACATCAATGTGTGGTTACCGCTCACACACCCGCTACGAGGGACGTGGCCTGCAACCCATGCATGTGCCCTGACTGGGAATCGAACTGGTGACCCTTTGCTTCACAGTCCCACGCTCAACCCACTGAGCTACACCAGTTAGGGCCAAGTGTCGCAGTTTTAGTACCTGGCCTTTTCTGATGTTGGAAGATGTTTAAAACAAAAATATGTATTGCAATTCAAATTTTAAGACTTGAAAAAAAGTGGCTGGGATGGAATAATTTTACAGATATATATAGGATTTTAAAAGTAAACATTTTTTCTATGTTTTTAAAGTATAAACCATTTGATTCAATATAAACTGGTACCTAGTATTTGTTGATATGAACTATATTTTTAGGAAAAATAACTGCTTTTATCCATACTCAATGTGATTATCTCTATTTCACTGTCAGCCCCACTTCTTCCATTTTTAAAAAATATATTTTATTGATTGTGCTATTACAGTTGTCTCATTTTCCCCCTTCACTCCCCTCCACCCTGCACACCATCTCCCACCCATATTCCCCCCCTTTAGTTCATGTCCATGTGTCATACTTGTAAGTTCTTTAGCTTCTACATTTCCCATACTATTCTTGCCCTCCCCCTATTTTCTACCTACCATCTATGCTACTTATTCTCTGTACCTTTCCCCCCTCTCTCCTCCTCCCACTCCCCTGTTGCTAACCCTCCATGTGATCTCTATTTTTGTGGTTCTGTTCCTGTTCCAGTTGATTGCTTATTTTGTTTTTGGTTTCGTTTCAGGTGTGGTTGTTCATAATTGTGAGTTTGCTGTCATTTTACTATACATGTTTTTATCCTCTTTTTCTTAGATAAGCCCCTTTAACATTTCATAAAATAAAGGCTTGGTGATGAACTCCTTTAACTTGACCTTATCTGAGAAGCACTTTATTCTGCCCTTCCATTCTAAATGAAAGCTTTGCTGGATAGAGCAATCTGGGATGGAGGTCCTTGTCTTTCATGACTTGGAATACTTCTTTCCAACTCCTTCTTGCCTGAAAGGTCTCCCTTGAGAAATCAGCTGACAATCTGACGGGAGCTCCTTTGTAGGTAACTGTCCCCTTATCTCTTGTTGCTTCTAGGATTCTCTCCTTCATTTTTACCTTGGCTAATGTAATGATGATATGCCTTGGTGTGTTCCTCATTGGGTCCAACCTCTTTGGGACTCTCTGAGCTTCCTGAACTTCCTGGAAGTCTATTTCTTTTGCCAGATTGGGCAATTTCTCCTATATTATTTGTTCAAATAAGTTTTCCACTTGTTGCTCTTCCTCTTCCCCTTCTGGTACCCCTATAATTTGGATGTGAGAACATTTAAAGATGTCCTGGAGGTTCCTAAGCTTCTCTCCATTTTTTGAATTCTTATTTCTCCATTCTTTTCTGTTTGGTTGTTTCTTTCTTTCTTCTGGTCCACTCCATTGATATGAGTCCTAGTTTCCTTCCCATCACTATTGGTTCCCTGTGCATTTTCCTTTATTTCACTTAGTGTGGACTTCATTTTTTCATCTAATTTGCAACCACATTCAACCAATTCTGTGAGCATCCTGATCGCCAGTGCTTTGAACTGTGCATCTGATAGATTGGCTATCTCTTGGTCGCTTGAAAATACTGGCTCTGGGGATTTGATTTGTACTTTGGTTTGAGCCATTTTGGTGGGGGTGGGGGGGTGGTCTGGTCATGCCTGTTACATAGTGAGGGGCAGAGCCTTAGGTGTTTACTAGGGCAGGGCAACCCACGTTGCTGCTTTGTGACGCTGTTTGTTGGGGAGGGGTCCAAGAGGGAACAATGGCCCTTGCTCCACTCGCTGCCGGATTTCAGTCCCTTCTGCCACTTCCCCCAAGCAAACTGGGCCCTTCTGGTGCTGGTTCCCAGGTGGGTGGGTTTGTATTCGTTTTAGGACCCTGTGGGTTTCTCCAATGAACTCCCCTGTGAGGCTGGGAGTCTCTCCCAGCACCTCAACCCCCACACGTGTTTTCAATAGGTGTTTTGAGGCTTTATTTCCCCATGCTGAAGCCCTGGGTTGCATGGTCTGTCTCACTCCCCAGTTTCACCTGGTTTATCTGTGTGTGAAAGTGGGACCACCTGCTCCACCAGCCGCCTTGCGCACCATGCCCCTCCACAATCCCCTGCTTTGTTGGGTCCGCCTGCTGCTGCCTTGTGCGCCCAGGGTCCACCAGCCACTGTTTTTTTTTTGCTGCAACCCCTGTCCGCTCAGCTGCCCAACTCCACCCCTCCTACGGGTCTGGATGAATATGTCTACTTTAACTCGTTGGTTGTTGGACTTCCATACAGTTTAATTTTCTGTCAGTACTGGTTGTTTTTTTTTTGTTTGTTTCTAAATTGTTGTTGTCCTTTTGGTTGTGTGAGGAGGCACAGTGTGTGTCTACCTACATCTCCATCTGGGTTGGAAGTCCCCCACTTCTTCCATTCTTTACACCAGGGTGTCAAACTCATTTTCATCGGGGGCTACATCAGCCTTGCGGTTGCCTTTAAAGGGCTGAAATAATTTTAGGACTGTAGAAATGTAACTACTCCTTAACTGTTAAGGAGCTGAAATTACATTTGGCCCTTTGAAGGCAACCGCAAGGCTGACGTGGCCGCCCGGTGAAAATGATTTGACACCCCTGCTTTACATCATCCCACTGAAACAATTTCTCACACTACGGATCTGCAAGATCCTGTAATGTACATAAACTTTATAACTAAGCCTTCAGTGATGCCACTATGTCTCCCAGAAACCCTAATCTACCATAAAGTTTCAATAGAAACACTGAGTCTCCATTTTACTTTGGAGTTTGCATGAAAACATACCAGTAAAGGTAACATTCTGTCAGATAAAAGCATACAAAGGTCCCTGACCCTAACAGAGGCTTACACTGGCCCACACAGACTCATTTGCCGGCCAAGTCCCTGGCGGCCTGTTAACGACACCAACCACACAGCCTTCCCTGCCTCCTCTGAGCACTTCTGGAGACGCGCGGTCCTCCCAGGTGGCACAGCGTTCTGCTGACCAGGCCCTCTCCCGCACATCTTCAGAATTTTTAAAACATAGATTCTAGGAGAAGAGTAGGAAGAGGGGGAAAAGGATATGTACTGACAAATTCCTTAGAAGGGTTGTTTCTGGGTAACAGGGTTAGGATGATTTTCTTTTCAGCTTCTTCAAACTTCCTGTACTTTTCAAATTTCCTATCACAAGCACTGACCACCTGTGGAATTTGGGAAATAAAGGAAAAACATTTTCACTAATACATACAAATTCCTTCTTCTAAGTTTGGAACAGCAAATTAAAATGTTGGCTTGTAGATCTGGACTTCGATGTGTTGTTAACAAGAACTAAAGCACAAGGTTTTTTCAAAAAGCTGCTTTCAGGTATATAAACATGGATGGTCCCATCATCAGTAGTACGTAGGTTGCATCTGCATTGCTTGTTCTCTGTTTTCACTAGCAGTCAGCGTAAAAGTCTATCGTTACCTGAGATCTTCTAGGCTTTCCCTTCCTGTTCTATGGCTGTGGTCAGCAAAACTTTGGCCCCCACCATCTCCATGCCCTGGCACTACACCTGTAAATTTGTTTTGTGACTTTATAGATAAAATTAAGGTGCTAACCAGCTGACTTTAAAATAGGGAGATTATCCAGATGAAGCCTATTTGACTGCACAGGTCTTAAAATCATAAGTCAGTCAGTCAGCTATGCAGTGGAAGAAGAGGCAGGAGATATTTGAACCACAAGCATTCCATTGCTGGCTTTGACGGTGAAGGGAGCCATAGTTCAGATTATGGTAATGGCCTCTCAAAGCTGCGAATGACCTCTAGTCAAGAGCTAGAAAGGAAGCAGACCTCAGTCCCACAGCAGTATGAAATTCTGCCAGCAGCTTGAATGAGAGTTGAAAGATTCTCCCCCAGACCTAAGCCCTACAAACACTGTTTGCAGCCTTGTGTGACTAGAAGCAGAAACACCAGCTAAGCCCGCTGAATTTCTGAGTTACAGAACTATGAGATAAAGTTGTGTTTTGGGAGTGAAATCAGCATCATGGCAGAGTGAAACAACCCCATTGGTATGTCTCCTTAAATCAACAATGAGGACATTTATAACCCAATAAAGGTTCCTCTGCTCAGCACCCTAGGACACCTGAAAGAGTCACACATCAGCACATCTGAAAGTGGGTGTATTGGTATGTATTGCAGAGGCAGAAGGTGGGGGCTCTCTAAATGCCAGGGTGGAGCCTGCATCCCTAGCCAATGCTGTAGTGGAGGAGTTGGGGTGTGGCCCCTGCACCATTGCCTGGAAGAAGGTATGGGCCAGCATCAACACCTGAGAACCTGGCTCCCTCCGATGGATTGTGGTGCTTCTACCAGCAGAGCCTGTGGCAGCAGTGGAGACAGGTCTCCACCCTCCTAGCCACAGCACCAACTGCCAAAGGAAATGATGTAATAGCACAATAGACTCACAAACCTGGTCACCCCCACACCTGCCACCTCTCCCTGCCATGGTGGTGGTGACCCAAGACCAGGCAACCCAGACATAGGGGCAACCACAACCCTCATCACCCAGGCAGTGACTTCCACAAGCACAGTTATGCCCTCCCACCCATGCCCCCCGCCCCACAAGGACGCCAACAGCATAGGGCACCAGAGATGAGGAAGACACAAGTAGTATGCACGTAAGAGAAAGCAAAACCTGTGTTGTAGCATCTTCTACTGGAAAACAAAAGACCTCTGATTATCAACCAGCTGAACTGTTAAAATCAACATAGTACCTAAACATGAAGCATGTTCACTACTTTAAATGCTCCAGAACAGGAACAACACATCAAATACCATGAATAACCCAAGTAGCATTGTATTGCAAAAAGAAAATTACAATTCCCTAGAAA